TCTCCAGGAATTATTATTGAATTATTTTTTCAAATTGGTATTAATATTTTAAGTAAAGTTATCAAAGAATAAAAAGTACAATTTTCTATTTCATTATTAGATATCAAAATATCATTAATAATTTTATTATTGTTATTATTAAAATTGAATTAATTAATATCCTGATCTATATTAAAAATTTCCACAGGTATCTGAGCATTTATAAGCTTATTTATTTCATTTCTACAATTAGCAACTAAATATTTACAAAAAAGGCTAAATACAACAGCTGCCAAATGTCTATAATCATCTTGACCTAAAAGTGCTTCATCACATATTCTTACTACAACATTAAATCTTATTTGAGTAATTTCTGAATTCAAATTTTTAAATTTAATTTGAACTTGATTTTTTTTATAATTAAACTCAGTATAACATGTATATACAATAGATTGTTCTGATAAATCTGCTAATTTGTATTTTACAATTAATTCATCAACAGCTATTTTTTATATCTTTTCCAAAACTTATAAGTCTTTTGTATTGTTGTAAATGTGAAATAATATCTTTAAATTGTCTAATTTGTTTATTAACTTTTGTTGTAATAATAGAACTTGAATTTATTTTAATATGAATAATATATAAAGGTTCAATATCAAAATCAAAAATTTGGGGTCCAGAAAGTTTAGAGTTTTTTCAATTAATTTTCTAATTATAATAAAATAAATAAAATTAATTTATTATATAATTTATTAATTTAATGTCAGGATTTGAATAAATAAATAAAATTATAAAATTAATAATATAATAATATTGGTACCAATTTTTGAATATAGTCTAAATAACATGACACTTTCAAAAAAAGAGTGTTCAAGGATCACTACACATTTTATTTTGGTAATTAAAAATAAAACTTTGTTAGCACATACAATACTTAACGTGCTGATGTTTGCTAAAAAGGAATATAACATGCTTATGTAATTTGTGGAACTGATAATTACAGATACAAAGTAGCATGCTACTTGATAGGCTCAATGATAAAGGAATCTTAAGGTGCTCTATACATGCCACTCAAATTCCAAATTATTTTGACATTTTAGCTATCAAAATTCAGTTTTCATAGTATTTGAAATTTGTGATTTGAAATTTGAGATTTAGTATTTTGAATTTAGATCATACCTATAAGGTGCTCTACTTGTATATGCTTACAAAAATTTCAAAATCTTTATTGATCAAGTAGAGTAGTAACCAAAATTTCATTTATAATTAGGACTAAACAGGAACAATCCTTTTTAAAAAAAAAATATTTTAGCTATTTGTAAACTATATAATATAACTTTTAAACTTTCTAGAGGTATTAAAGAAGTGTTATTAATTAAAGAAGGCAATCTTACAATTGAAAATGTGCTATCAGATGATCAAATCTATAAACAAAATAAGAAAAATCTTAAAAAGAGACAACTAATATTTTTGAAACAATTTTTTTTACATGATGACAAAAGGCTTTTACATTGATAACAAATTAACAATAACAATCAAAGAGATTTCAAACTGTGTTCAAGTTTTTAGAAAAAAACTTATAATTGATCAGAATACAAGAAAGCTGTTTGAAAACTTACAAGATATCTTAGAAGAAAGATACAATATATATGAATGGAACATTGGTAAATTGTGTAAAGATATAGGTTAGATAACTATAAAGAATCTTGAGGGTGACTTCCCTCTTATTGACAAATGGAAAAAAGTTTTGGATAAAGATGAATTCACAATTTCACATTATATTGTTAAGGCAACTTTATAGAGTTCAGAAAAATTGGTTTTGGAATAATACAGGAGTTGGGATTATGGTGATAAAAGCTTATCCATGAATTTAAAAAACTAGGAAGTATACTTGCTGAAAATAAATATAGAAAAGTTCATTAGTATTAATGTTGTTAAAAGTGTAATATCACTATACTTTATTTCAGAGTGAGCAAATAAATTAAGGCTTTATTCAATGTGAAAAGTAATTATCGAAAGTATTGGAAAAGTTAAGAAAAACACAAGAATAATTAACTCTGAAATTCTCTCGAATACTTTTCAATACTCATTAACAATAGTCAGACAACAAGAATGAATATGTTTCTGAGATTTTGGAAATTTTGAAATAACAAATAAATTCAATTCAAATTAGACTAAATTCTATTTAATTTATCTAATAGTAACTCAATTCAAATTTATACAGATGGTTTGTTACTTAAAATAAATAATAATAACTCCTTAATGAATTGTAATTGGAAATAATAATGAAAGTTATACTTTCAAGAGAAGAGTAATAAATTACACATCTTCAACAAGAGCTGAACTGTTTGCTATATTTATAACAATTTATACCATTCTAAGTCATTTATTGTTGTGTATTTTTACAAATAATCAAACCACTATAGACACTATATCAAACATTTCATTTAATCTGTAGAGATCTTACCATTGTTACTAGTTAACCTTTTATACTAACTTTATTTTTCAAAAGGCAATTTACAACTAGTAACTCATAAATAGTTATTTTAGTTTACGAATTGAAGAAGTTAATAAAAGAAGAAACAAAGAAATATTTTAAGTTAAATACTAAAACTAATTAAAAGACTTAAGAATTTGTGATCACAGGATTTTAAATATTGATTAACGGTTAAATTTTAAAGATCAATTTAAGAAATTAAGTCAAAGAGTTGAATATGTTTGTCAATGGTTTATAAAATAATAACAGAAATTTATAATTCAGAATTTATATTTGAAGAATATAAATTAATAGAAAAGTAACAGAGTTTTAATATAAAAGATATAAGTTTATTATGAAGAAAATTAATAATCCAGTTACTTTAGAATTATAAAAATATTAATTCAATTATAGAATTAATTTACAGTTGAGATTACTTTCTAAATTTCATTATTTAGAATTATTCAAATTTTATTTAAAAACTATCTGAATCTAACTTGAGGTGAAGAGAAAACTTATTCTTTTTATAATATTTGATTTGACCAGTAAGTTGGTCAAAATCTTGATCAGTAATTGTGTCAATCAGTTGGTCACTAAGTTGGTCAATCAGTTGGTCACTAAATTGATCAGTAAATTGGTCAATAACTGGAACACTATGATCTATATTATTGATTTACATATTTCGTATAATGCTAATAGATAAATAAATACTAATTATAACTAATAACTAAATATACTAAATAATATACTAATATAATAAATAACAAAATAAGAAATAAATAAAATAATAAGAAAAATTATTAAAATGGAAAAAACTCATAGTAACACCATCAACTTAAAAATTTGACAATACTGAAAGTAATTGAAGAAATTGCTAATTCTCAGGAATTATCTCTCAGACTTGAAAAGGTTAAAGCTCACTCTGGTTTGATTTATAATGAACTTGTAGATCAACTTGTCAAAGAGAGCTTTACGAGTCAACTTGTTCACCAGACTTACATCATTGTTATCAGTTAATATAATTAGGTGTTAAAATGCAAAAATAATTAAAGAACCCTTGAGACATTTTATTAAAAAACTGGACAAGGATAAATACTCAATACAGTAAAAATTTCTTAATTATAACATCTCTTCTATATCAGAATATAAGAGCCAACAGATTCAATGGGAAGTAATATGAAAGATAATAATACGTACAAATATAGATCATAACTCTAAAGATAATAAAGATACCTGAACTAAAGCTTTCAATATTAAACAAACTTCTTAATAACAAACTTTTTACATTAGAAAAAATAAAGGATTATTTTCAATAGTATATAAAAACAATATTTGTATTTGATGTGATATTGAAAAGGAAGATCAGGTACATATATTAACATGTATATAAAATTTAATGGATATACATTTGTGTAAGGAAAAATTTATTGAGTTAGTTATAAATAAAATTACAGTTATAGTATATGGTAATATATACAAAAATCTTGGAAAAGAATTGGAAAATTTAGGGATTTACATGTTTTTACGAATACTACCTTGCGAGATATCCATAATTTGTTATTTATAGATATTATGTTAGGACTTATATCAACAACAGTATTCAATTTAATTATACAAAAAGTGATAAAACATAACTTGGTAGATTAAGTAATAGACCTAGTTTTTGATCAATTTAAAAACTTTCTTTATTTATATATATAGAAAGAATGATATACAACAATTAAATATTAGGAAGTTACAGTTGGTATTAATAATAATAAGTAGAAGAGAAAGGTCTATAGCCAGGTAGTCGACAGGGTTAATGCTACTAACTTATTTAGTAACAGTAGTAATAATATTGAACAGAACTATATATGTTCCCAAAATTGATTTTGGATTTTTGAGGTATTTCGACTTTTTGAGATTTATGCAGAATCTATTCTATATATAGAAGTAAAAAAAGTATCCAGTTATGTGTATATTCAATTAAAGAATAAATTTGAATGATCAAAAAATTTTGGATTTTAAGTAAAATAATTTTGTCTTCTATGAAAAACTATTTCAACTTTTTTTTTCAAAATTGCAATTTCAGGGCCCCAAAATAATTTTGTATGCAAGTATAAACAGAACATTAATTTAAATATAAATAACAATAATAATAACTTTAGTTATGCTCGAAATAGAAATATATATAATTTTACATCATTAAAGATAATTATAACTAGACTTGACTATATAAAATAGGTTTTTCAGCAGGACCTTAACATGCTGAGGGCAATTATTATTGTTATGCAGTAGGTTGTAGGTGTGTCCCTTCAGGTTAGTCTGAGTCTCACCTTTAACTAATATTCATTCAAATAAGTCATGTATCTTATATTTGTAAGAAACTTTCTCTTGTTCTAGTTAATAAAAATTAGAGATGAGGCTCACTGGAACAAAAAAAAAATCTATATAATAATATAAATTAAAAATAAAATAATAAATTATATTAATATAAATAATTTAATAATAAAAGTTAATTTTATTAATATTAATTATTAAAAATGTAATTATATAATCAAATTAACTATACCTTTAAAAATGAATTAATAGCTGATTTTGTACTATTAATACTCCATTCAGCACATTCTTCCTTCCAAGCGACAGTGTAATTTACTTTTGAATTAGATTCATATTTTGTTTCACATTTAACTTTTCTTTCATCAACTTCTGTTTCAATTATATAATTATTGGATATTTAATATTGGAGTATATTATCACAGTTTGTTTTTTAAGTTAATTTTGATACTATGGGATAAGTTCCTAGGGCAATAACATTATAATATGAATTATATGTTCATACTTTTGATTTATATTGAGCTTCAATTCTTGGAATTTTTGAATAATTGTGTATAAAAGTATGACTGGAGAAAGATTTTGTTAATAAAAGAATTTTTAGAGTATTTTTAAAATAGAATAAAACAAATAAAATAAATAAAATAATATATTTAAACAAACACCTTCTAAAACTTGATTTTCTATATTTTGATCTTCTACACTCTCGTCACCTACATTATGATTTTCTTTATCAATACCACTTTCTATATCTTGAACTTCTACCATTAGAATATTGATTTTCAACTAGTTTTTATATTTTACAAACAAAAATATATTTATTTATTATTTTTTTCATAGTTTTAATACAAATAAGAGATAGCTTTGCATACTGATTTCACAGACGATTCCACTGAAAATGGGTTCTCAACGGATTCCCAACGGATTCCCAAGATGCGATTTCAATGCAAAAACTTTTTAGTAATTGGTTTATGCATTTTAATATCACATATTAGTTACGTTTTAACATGTGTTAAAACCAAAATTCGGGATAATCACTAAAATTTAATTAGTGATATGAGACATATGAGTAACACAAACCTAATAATAAAATGTATTACAGGAATTTCCCTCCGTAGTTATTTTCAATATTAAATATATATGCACGAAAATAATCGTATATAGCAAATTTTTTGATTTAAGCGATAGGCAATACGTAATTTCATACTTACTATTTTTAGTTGTCTTTTAATCATTCTCTCTTTATAGAGCTCTCCCTCCTTTCTTAATAACAAAAAAAAAGGTATTATTTTTATTATATACTATTCAGATGAATGTGATAAGGTTGAAACCTATAATATTCTATTCGAAGTTGTTTGAATTGAGAAACATTATGAAACGTGAAAAAATATTATGAAATGACATCCAAAAAGAATATTGATATTCCTGAAACTTTGCATGTGATATCTTTAGGATTATAATTTAATCGAATACTGTTTTTTGTTTGTAGTCATTGTTTAATGATTAATGGTTACGTGTAATACACAAATTAAAAAGTCTTTGTCTGGTAAAAGAACTTTCTACTTTAAAAGTAATTCTTTAATATATCGAATTTTCTTTTAATTCGAAATCAGTGATTATGGTCATTTATAGTAATCCATATTATTGATGTCCATTTTGGTATAAAACTCTGCCACCTCATTAAATGTTAAGATTCTTTCAATTCTTTACTAATTTTAGCCATATAATATTACATTTTTTGATATTATGTCTTAACAATGTTTGACATAGTGTAGTGTGGGGGTAATGGGTGTCGTGACACGGCGCGGTTTGTACAACCGGGACCATTTACAACAGAATTTGAAATTAACCTTTTTATGAAATCTTTATCATTAATTAATTAAACATACGTGGTTGGAGAGCTTTATCTTTGTGAAAAATCTACATTTGTATAACAAATTAAAATAATCCTTTTGCTTATCTCAAATTAATTTTCTTCCTTTTTTATTTAGAAAATTTACACAAATATTGTGATATTATTTATACCAATTCTTTGGGTTTTTTTTTCTCATTCTAATAATATAATAATTCTAACAACAACAACAAATACAAAAAAAAAAATTCCAATATAAAGTTTCAAGTGTTAATACTCCTTTTTCTCTTACAATCATTTCCTCACGTTTCATGCGATTTTTTTTTTGTTTAATAATTGTGTCCTATCCTTTACTAATTATTAAAAAAAAAAATAGCTTTTGATTGTATTGTTAAATAAGTATCTTATATATATATGTTTCACATTTTTTTCATAAATTTAAACAGTTGCAACTCTTTACGTAAAGTTTTTCTTTAGTATCCTAAAGATTTCATTTCTCTAATATATATACTATATATACATAACTACCCTATATAAAAAGATTATAGATTTTTCTATTAGCGATTAAGCAAGTGTTATTATTACTTATTAATAAGAAACCAATATAGAATATTGTTATACAGTTGTCAATAATGACTTCAACTATGGATAACCAAATCGAAAGTAATATTTTAGGTATGTGAAAGTTATATTTTTTATATATTTTTTTTTTAATATTTAAAGAATAAATCTTATCTACAACAAAAATTTATATTATTATTTTTTTTTTTTTGTATTTATTTATTTTTTTTTTTCAAAATTCAAGGTGTATACGAAAATTATTCGGCTAAAAATCCATCACTCAAAAATTCATTCGAAGATTACTGTTCGAATAAAGATCTTTCACTCGAAGGCTACTGTCCCCCGACTTATTTGACTAAAGATCTATCGGTCGAATCTCCAACCGGAGTATTAAACTCTCAACGTTTCTCTTATGCTTCTACTGCATCTTCCGAGTTATCAAATCGTTCCTCAACTGAAGTTAACAGAGAGTCAATGGCTGCATTAAGACAAATCAAAGAATGGGAGAAAAAATACAACGATACTTCGAACGAATTGGAAAGATTAAAATTGGAAACTCTAGAGTCGAAAGAGTTAAATAGAGCTCATGTTAGAACGATTAGACAATTAGAACAAGATGTCAGTCAACTAAAAATTGTAAATAAATCGTTGTTCAATGATAATAAGGAACTTCAAATTCGGCTTTCGGATAAAGAAGGAGAGGTACGTTTAAAAATTTTAATTATTTTTAAGTTTTTTTTTATTTTTATTTTTCGTTTATAAATAATTAATCCCTATGTGACTTACATAATTTAGTACCAAAAAATGGAAGAATTGTATTTGGAAGAAAGACGAAATAATAATGAAAGACATTTAAAATCTGATTCATTGACATCTACTTTATCTGATGACAGAGAGACACTAGTTGGAGAACGTGTGCAAAAAGAAAGTGATCATACTTTAATTGAAGGTAAAAAATAATTTTTTTTTTTAAAAAAAAATATAATTACAACCTTTGAACTTTTTACTAAACTAACGTCTCTGTCTCTATATCCTTTATCTCTTCTTTTTTTTTTTTTTTTTAGAACTCCAAAATAAAATTAAAACTCTCAAAGATGATAATGAATCAATGACTTTATATATCCAAAAAATGTTAAACCGTATAATGGAAGTAAAAGGTTTTGAAGATACTTTGGCAACCGATTGGACTTCAGAGCGATCAAACAAGACTACCACTCTCGCCACGAAACCCATAGATGTCTCTTCCGAGAACCAACCAAAACCTTCCAAGAATTCACGTTCAAATTCCCTAAAGAATAATTTCAAATTCCCTCAAAATGGAGAAATAATACAAGAAAATTCTGAACCAGAGAATCTTTCATCATATTCACCGAGCTCACCAACGATTGTTGAACAATCACATGAAGAGGATACTACTACAGTAACGAGAGCACGTAAAGGTAGTAGTTCAGCAGATAGCGTGATAGTGCGAGAAAGTCCAAGAGTAGATTTACCCAAAAGACCAGCAACAGCGAATGTTATTCCTTCTGCTAATAATAATAATAATAATAATAATAATAATGCCAATAAAAGAATTAGTGGTCTTTTTAAATGGAGTGTTTTAGCAATTACGAGTGCTAGAACTTTTGCTGATCCTCCAAAGAAAGAGGACCCTTATATGAAACCCATTTTGCTCGTTCAAGCAAATGAGAAGAAATAAAGATTAAAATTTATTAATTTTATTGTATAATTATTTACTTTACTAATATTTATTATTATTTGTTATCATAATTAATGTAAATGTAATGCAAAATAATTTTTTCTGAGCTATTACAATTTTTGTCTTTAAAACATTCGTAATATATTTTAATTTCATTTCTTTAAAACATTCGTAATATATTTTAATTTCATTTCTTTAAAAATTATTTTCTTTACCAAAATACGATTATTATTTTTATTTTTATGTAGTTATACTTTGTATTTCAAATTAGAATTATATATATAAATATATTTATATAAAGAATAAAATAAAAAATATAACTTGTTAATAATACATTGTATTGTCTATAAAAATTATAAAAATGAAACTGCATTAATCTAATTTACAGGACAAAATTAGTCCATAAAAATAATTGGTAAAACAATGTAGATTTTTTGGATGAACAAGAAATCTTACTTTTAATTAATGAAGAAGAATGGGTCCAAACTATTTAAAAATTACTTAAATATTAATATCACTTTACATATTTTAAAGGCATTGGGAATAACTTTATCGTGATATTACTTATTATTCCGAGATGAATTTAAAAAATATTTCATGTTCAAATACAATTTAGGTATTTGATTATATCAAAGATTATATCAAAAAAAGGAGTAATTTTCGTTCTTTTCCTAGACTACATTCTCTATTAATTTATGTACGTTAAAATAATTTCTTATAAAGTAAAATCCTCTCGTGTTAAATAGTTGATCGAAACATTTCTCAAGTTAAATTCTGGTATAATTTACGTTACATTACTACATAATGTTCAATAATACACAAGATTTACACGCAAGACAAATGCACAGAATTAATTCGTAGGGTTTGGAATTTATAGAAAAGTAGGACTATTTGTTTTTATTCGTGCACATTAGATTTATGTATGCATTACATGCGTAATATATGTAATAGATTTCGATTTGTTACTTTCTTTTGACCAATGATATTATTCCACTTTACTTTCGCAGAGTAATCAATATATTTAATATTTTTACCATTTATACTTTATCATTTAAGTAAAAATGTTTATCATTTATTATTTATTATTTTTTGGGGGTATCGTTGGAGAGTATTTTTTTTTTAGGAATTTATCGGGATATTTTAATGGGAATTTTAGAAATTTTAGAAATTTTAATGTATTTTTTTTTTTTAATCCTCATTTTATTAATTTGAAATTATCAAATTGTTTCCAAAGACAAAAAAAAAAAAACATAAAATCCATAAAATCCATATAAAATCGATTTTTAAAATTAAGTAAAAATTAAAAAAAAAAAAAAGAAAATTTGTAAAACCTTTTTATGTTAAAATGAATTTTGTTCATAACTTACAAAATATTCTAACTATTATAACTTCATTTTTAAATTTTTGTTAAAAAGAAAAAAAAAATTTTTTATCTCAAGAAAATCTATTATTTGGAAATTTTGAAGAAGAAAAAAATAATAAAATCTATTACTTGGAAACTTAGAAAAAAAAAAAGTAAATGTCATAAAAATATGTTTTGAAATGAAATTATTTTCTAATAAGAATAAATTCCTGTTCTTGTGCGCTTGAATGAGGAGAAAAATAATTCTCAGTATTTGAAAATGGTAAATTATTTAAATTGTTGGAATTTTCGGTTGTCTCCAATTTTATTTCTTGCAATGAAAAAATATCATATTTTTCGCCTCTATCCCAAGATTGTAAAATGGATATATTATTGGAATTTTCGCCTCTTTCTTCTAAAGGTTTTATTTGCTGTAAAGAAGATAAACCATTTTCATTTCTTTCCAAACCTTCTAATCTCAATCTTGATAATCTTTCATCAGATTTATTTTTATTTTCCATTAACTTCATTAATAATTGGACTTTTGATTCTTTTTCCTGAACTTGATCTTCAGCTAATTTCAAACCTTCTTGTTGAAGTTTGCATTGTAGTTCTAATCTATTAATTTCTAATTTTAATTTTTCATTTTCCGTGCGAAAGATATTTCCAGAAGATCTTGTAATTTGCCCAGATGGTATATAATCATGACTGCATAAAATACTTGCAGCTTTGTAAGTTTCAATTTCTTCAAGTAATTTTTGATTTTCTGAAACTAAATTGCTGTTAGTCTTTTTATGTAAATTAATTTGCTTTTGATCTTTTTTGTGTTTAAAATCAAATTGTCTTCTATGTTCTTCTAATTCTAAATCCAAATTTTTCATTTTTGAATCTTTTTTATTACACAATTCTTGAATTTTAGTGATTTGACTATTGGCTTGTTCTAATTGAGTATTAACTCTCAAAAATTCTATTTGCTTATCTTGTAATAATTTATGAATTTGACTCATTTCTTGATTCAAACTCTGATTTTTAGATTTTTGATTTTGATACAATTTTTCATATTGTTTCATTTTATTATGACAATGATCCTTTTCTTGAATCATATTATTGAGTTCTTTTAACAAATTTTCATAATCCTATTAAATTAAAAAATTATTTAGTATTTTATAATAATAATATTGTTAAAGTTTTTATAATACTTACCATCATTGAAATACTGGGTTCTTTATTGTCACCAGAATTATCAGAAGAATTATTAGAAAGATTATCAGAAGAATTATTAGAAAGATTATCAGAAGAATTATTAGAAAGATTATTAGAAGAATTATTAGAAAGATTATTAGCAAGATTATTAGAAGAATTCTTAGAAAGATTATTAGAAGAATTCTTAGAAAGATTATTAGAAGAATTATTAGAAAGATTATTAGAAGAATTATTAGAAAGATTATTAGAAGAATTATTAGAAAGATTATTAAAAGAATTATTAGAAGAATTATTAAAAGAATAGTTGGAAGGATTATTTTGCTGTCTTTTATTTATAAAAATATTTGAGAAAGTATTTGAAAAAGTATTTGAAATAATACTAAAGTTAAAGTTATAAGATGAAGTATTTGCAGAGGAGGAGGAAGAAGAAGGGGCAGTAATATTTGTAGAGGGAGAAGAAGGAGATAATTGCTTTTGTTGATAATTAAATTTAAAATGATTCTTGTTATCATCATTTTTTGATTTTTTTGTACAAATTTTCTTGTTGAATTCATTTTTATTATTATTATCGTTAATCTCATTAGGATTTCGAGACCTCTTTTGTGAAGTTGACATTCCAATTAAATTAGCCACGGTAGAAAGAAGTCCAGACGTTTTAAAAGATTCAAAAGAAGATGGTGTAATTGTAGTAAAAGAAGAAGGCGTAATTGTAGTAAAAGTAGTAGAAGTAGTAGTGGCGGAATTATTGTCATTATGAGCCGTAGAATTATTGCAATTATCAGTAGAAGGAGAAGAGGAAGAGGAGGCCATAGTGGAACAATTATTTCCACTTTCTTCTTCCATCATTGTAATCACTGAGGATGAATCGGTACTAGGATCGTCACCGACCTCATCATCATCGTCGGATAATACAGTTCTGGATGAAGCTGTGGAGGATCGACGTTGGGAAAAAGAAAGTCCGGTGCTTTCTTGGTTCTTCGTAATTCTCCATTCTTCTAATAAAGCTGCAGTGCAATTATTTTCCGGCTCCTAAATAAAAAAATCGAGATGCGCAACATTTACTTAGATGGAAATCAAAATACATATAATATGTAATATTTATAAATAATATTTACAAAATTTACCCAAGTTGGATCCCAAGGAATTCCATCTTTGTCTTCGCCTTCCCATTGCACTAAATAGTGTGACACACCGTTTGATTGTCTTTCGTCTAAAATACGCTCGGCTTCCCAAAATCCAGTTTCTCGCTTCATTTTTTTTATATTTAGTATTTCTTAATTAATAAGTTAATAAATGCACGAACTAAAAAAATTATTTGATAAGCATATAAATAACGTTCTGATTAATAAACGATAAAAATACGGGTTTCAAATTATATAACCTTAATAATAAACACAAAAGAAAAAGAAAATAAATAATCTCGTTCTCACAGAAAAAATTTTACACACAGGAAAAAAGCAAAAAAAATTTTAATTTTATTTTCACAATTTGCGATTATATTATATTGGTTAATTGATTTGACGTTACACGAAGCAAAGGAGATTAAACCAGCCTTAGTTCAAGAAAAAAAAGATATATATATATATAATCTGTATATCTATAATGACATAATTTCAAGGTTTAAAAATATTTAAAAGTATTTAAAGCGTACATAAAACCAACAACCAATGAGGATATTCATAAAATATATAAATTCGGTTTTTTTTTCAGATAAAATAAAAATATAAATTCGGTAAAAAAAATATTTGAATAGAATGTTATTATTATTATTATTATATCATCATTATTAAAAAAAAACCTAAATTATCCAAAGAACTATGATAAATCTTTTGTTAGATTTATCAATAAAATAATAAAAATCATAAAGTTTCAGTAAAGTTTCGGATTTTTATTAATAAATCATATTTTTATAAAATTTTCTTCTTGTGTTTATATATTTTTTATTATAATTTTCCATGTTTCTATATTTTTATGTGTTTTATATAATGATCAAAAATAAAAAATAAAATATTAAGAAAAAGAAAAGAGAAAAATTCTGAAAATTCCAATGTAAATGTCTCATTAAAAATATCTGGATAAATTTCTTGCATAAAGTGTTATTTTGATATATATTTTTACACATATATATTATAATTTTTAAAAATAATTTTAATACTTTTAATATCTTAATGACAAATAAAATTTATATATGTTTATTATTATAAAGATCTCTTCAAAATAGATGTCAAATATTTCAATATTCAAAGTTGTTTGGTTTCCGCATACGGGTAAGAAAAGACAAGAAAGAAAAGATCAAAAAATTGATTTTGGCATCTGGGTAAGAAAGATAGAAGACAAGAAAGATAGAAGACAAGAAAGAAAGAATCAGAAAAAAATAGTAATCATTTTAAAATTTTAACAAATGTTGATAAATATAATATTAATGAATATTAATTCACAATTTATTTATTAAATAAATAATAGTTTTTATACATCAAAAACATTTTTATGTAATTTTATAGACATTTCGACAATTAACAAGTGTCTTGAATATTTACAAAATAATAAAATAAAATTTTTTCCAATATTGATAATAATAGCAAAAATTGAAAAATTGAAAAATTGTAAACAAGAGTCATAAAACTAATATTTTTGCTTTGATGGGCTAATTTTACTCAACTTTGAACTTTTGATTTCTTTCAGTTTGCTCTTATTATTTTCAATTATTTCTTAAATCCAGAAATAATAATAAAGTCTATTTTGATAAAGAACAGACTAATTGATTGATTGAAGCAATATAAATTATTCATAACTTTATTACATTATTTTTAACAATTTTCATAACCTTTCTCAAAATAAAACCCCAAGTCAAATTTTGAGGGAGGTATAATGTATCTTGGTGATATTGAAATGATTAAATAAAGTCTTGAATTATTAAAATTATTCTAATGAAAAGAATATGAAATTAATGAAATTATTCTTTTTATTACATTTCCACTAATATAAAAAATTTGAACCAATCTCCATTTATAATATTGTCATTAAAGTGCAACAACACATTTTAAAGAATTCAGTCAATTCAAGTAGTTCAAGATCCTGATAACAAAATAATATTTTTAAATCCCGAATTTCAATTTTACAAAACAAATTTCAGTAGAAGATTTAAAAAAAACGAAAAAAGGAGTCGCTTTTAACTTTATATAACATTTGTAAATATTTTTGATTATCAAGATATTCTAAATATTCTAACTAGATATTTTTAAAAAATCAAATCATAAAACCTGAAAGAGACATCTTTTTTCCATATAGAGTAATGATTGAATGAACAAAAATTTCATTTGATCAATCATTATTACAAAGAATTTATCTTTTCTTAAATGAAATAATATTTTTAAGTAATATAATGAATGGACAATGATAACCTTTGAAAAAACAAAATGATATCTTTAAAGATAAAAGTTTCTCTCTTTCAATATATTCATCACATGATCTGAGGCGTCGATGAATTGTAACAATACAATATATAGAAATAATATAATACATTAATTGTTACTATTTATGCGTACAAATTTATTAATTCAATCATTATTTTTTCATAATTTTATTTTATTTACAATTAATAGAATACGAGAATGTAAAACAGATATGGTAAGGAAGGACGAATAATATAACACTTGATGCATATAAAAATACAACAACAAAAAATATCTAAATATATTTATGCTGGTCGGAAGTAATGTGGTATGGTAATCCAATATCAATTGATTATGAGTCATTTTTACAAACGAAATGCAGGAACTAAAAACCACACAAAGAAAACTAAAAGATGTGATCTCACGCCAATAATATTAATCTCATCATGACGGTAGCTTTAAATTTTAACTTAATAATAATTAAATAATAAACTTAAAGTTATAATATTCAAAATAACATTCATAAAAGAATTTTCTTCTTTCATTTTTGTTATCATTTTTGTTATCATTTTTGTTATCATTTTTAATATTATTATCTTGTTTTTTATTTCTATTTTGTTATTTGTTTATAAATAAATCCATTTATTTCTTGTTTAAGAATTATTCACATCAATAAATAAATATTTAGATAACAATAAGTATTAATAAGTATTAATAAGTTTTATACAAATATGATGAATTTTAGATGAACTTTAAGTATATTTTTAATAATTATATCTTTATAGTTTGTTACACGTTATCATTAACGCTACGCAACTTTTCTATACATTTGGTTTCTTATACATGAAAATATAACAAGAATATTATTGATGTATTAATTTGGAAATTGTAATATTTACTTTTCCCCTTAGTATCCTAAAAAAAAATTGTGTATATAATATTTATGGAAATTGATTTTTTTCCTAAAATATTTTGAAACATTTTTTTGCATAATAAAAGTCACATTGGTCTTTATTCAAGGGTTTAAAGATTAACTTTACTATCTTTAATCTTTTTTTGAATGTATTGTACAATTATTTTTTAAAATAGTAGATTGTAATGCAAAAAAAATAAAATATTTTAAATATTTTACAATACAATTTTATAATTCAATTGGATATAATTGATAATAATACAAATTAAATTTATTACACTATAACAATTATCAAATTTGATTTTACAATACATTTTTTTTTTAAAAAAAATTCATAAAGAAGTTTTCTTTAATATTTTCACAAAACATTAATAATTGTCTTATTTGAATTCAATACATATAATGAGATGAAAAAATTTTTACAGATTTTTATGAAATAATTTCTCAAATAAACATTAATTTAGCAACAATCCATTCAACTCATAATTATCATGAATATCATGTTGTTGTATTATGTACAATACAAATAAACTATGAATATATAATTACATTTTAAAAAAATGTAAGTATTTACATGTATAAAGTGCTTATTAATTAGTTATTCATTTGTGTTATTAATATAACTTGTTATGCCTTTATCATTTCAAATTAAATCTTTTGTTTACTGTGATCACTTAAATTTATTAAATTTAACAATCAATTTTGATTATTTATTTATAAAATTTTTTTTTCAAATATATGTATTTAAAAGAACTCAGTAAACTTCTGTACCTATGATAAAATGTTTTTCTTGTTTAAAATAAATGACTTTAATAATTAATGACTATAATTTGATTTCCAATTGTAACATGAAAAATTGTGTTGATTAAAATCACATGAGGATAAAATTACATAATATATCTAGAAGAAATAATATTTTTCCTCCTTTATTATTATTATCCTCAATATAATTAGAAATTTGTTGGTTTGACTTTATTTTGAATAAAATGTGCTTATTCAACAAAGGAGATCTTTAATTATCATTATTATTATTACTATGATATTTTTATAGAAAGGTAACTTCAACATTAGTCACTTTTTATTTTATTTAATTGTAGAATTATTATTAATTACATAAGTAAGTTATTATGTGATAGAGAAAAAAAATGCAAATTCTATATTGGGATTTGAACTCTGAACAAATCCATGTAATATAATAGATAATTATTTTTTATAATGACAGAAAAACTAGTTATTTACTTCATCAATTTTTTAAATTTCCAAAATTTATAAAAGATGAGAAATAAATATTTATTTGTTTATAAATAATGTTCTTTTTATCTACATACATATATTTAAAAGAATTTTTTACATTCACAAGATTTTCATTTTAAAATTATAAATGCTCACTCATTTATTTTTTTGTAATTAAAAAAAAAAAAAACTATCAACTATTTAAAGAACTAAATATATAAATGAATTAATGAATAAATATAAATAAATGAATAATATATATATATATAAATATAATAAATAAAATAAATATAAATAATATTTAAAATATAAAAAAATAAAAATATAAATAAATAAATAATATAAATATATACACAACTAAATATAATATAAATATAATAATATAATTATTATGTATTATTATGATTATTTATCATATTCTAGGTACTTGTAAACGATAAAAACAGGTTCTTTTTGATCCCTTACTTAAATGACATCCCCAAATCATTTCTTCACCTTCACCTCTTCCCAAGAATTGAACATCCACACCTCTTACCACATTTTCCACTAACCTTCCCGTATTTAAACTTCTGACTTCTACCATATTTTTACCAAACCCCACCACAAAACCTTCACCATGTTTTTTATCTTTGGGTTTTATAAATTCTACATGAACAGGTGGTAAGGACCACTTATATATGATAGTACAAAATGGTCGACCTTTTTCATCTACTATCATTGACTTTGATCCAAATGTAGCAAAAAATAATGAAGGTAAATTAGTTGAAGAAGAAGAAGGTAAAGTTGAAGGTGAAGGTGAAGGTGAAGGTGAAGATGAAGATAAAAATACTGAAGTATAATTATCATTATTATCATTATTAATATTATTTGAATCAAATATTGGTATAGGATTTAACATTTTAGAAGGATCCTCATTAACAATTAAACTATAAGGAGGAGGGATGGTAAAAGAATCGGATAAAAATTCGGGATCAAAGTTTGGAACCCAAGGAAGTTGAGAAAAAGTTCTCCAAGAAGGGGAATCACAAATTAAAGAAGATAAAGACCTGAAAGTATGAGAATTATCGGGACGTAAATTAGGATCCAATAAAACATCTCTAATTCTTGCATCTTCTACACCAACCAGGATGACATCATTATCAAATACGGCAATAATATTTAATAATTGATCTTCATGCATTGACATTTTTAAAAATTTGGGAGTTTGAGGTAACCAATAAGTTCTTGTAAGAATAAATTCAGGACTTCGATTCACTTCACCAAAATCTAATTCAAATAAAAATATATTTTGTCTAGATAAAACAGCTATAAAAGATCTAGTTGGACCATTTCCTATAGTAAAAGATAAAGCCATTTTTGTTTTAGGTAGTTTAGAATAATTTAGGGACCATAAGTTTTTATTGTTTTGTATTTGGTGATGGTTATTATTATTATTATTATTATTATTGTTATTATTATTATTATTATTATTATTATAATCATCATTACTATTATTGTTATTGTGTCCTAAGGAAGAAGAAGATGATGATAATGATGAATTGTGAAGATTGGAATGACGAAAATTTCGAGATTCTGAAAAATTTATTGTATTTCTTGATGGATTTGTTATTGTTGCATCATTATTTATTGTTGTGGGGGGTAAAGATAAAGGTAAATTCGTAAAAGAACTATTATTAAGTGATAAATTCAAATTTAAATTATTCAAAGATAAACTGGGTGCAGATGAATTAGATAATTCGTGATCATCAAATATTGAATCCATTGATCTAGATCGTCCGTGACAAGAATAATATTTTTTATTTTCATTATTATTAACAGTATTTGATAATAAAGTTGAACGTAATGTTGATGGTGATCTTTGCTGTTGTTGTTTCGGTTGATCTAATTTACTTTTTATTAACAATCTTATACTTTTTAAATCATAAATTCTAACATGATTATTTTTTCCCGCTAAAGTTACTAATGCACTATATCTAGGAACTTTAAAAACTTTAATTTGTTTAAATCTAACAAATTCTATTAATTTTTTTGGAACTTGATCTTGATCATCATTATTATTATTAATATTATTATTATTATTATTATTATCGGATAATGTTGTTGGATTTTCTATTGCTGTTGTTGTGGAATCGCTTGTTATTGTTGTTGTTTTTGTTGATGATAATGATAAATCAATAAATTCTAATCCAGAAGTAGTACCTAATAAAAAATATCTATTATCTAATAAATCACCACATAAATATTTTTCTTTAATATTTAATGGTGATTTTCCTATAGTTTTAAGTTCGAATGGTGAACCTTCTGTAGAAGGATAATATGAATAAGCTGGAGCTTCTTCGTCACAATTATATCCATTTTCATTTTCGGGATTTTCATTTACATTATTACTATTCTCGTGAATTCTCTGTGGTATTCTCTTTATTGACGACATTTTTTTAAAATAACAATGAATTAATTGATCGAAACGAATTAATTAGAATAATTAGAATAATTAAAATAAATAAATAAATAAAAAAATTTAAATTGATTGATTAAAATAAAATCGATCTCAACGAATAAAATGAATTTACCTCGTCAAAGAGTACATTACTATGCGTTACGCCACCTAAATCATCCGGAAAAGGAGGCGGAGAACTTAAAGGCGCAGAACAAGTTATTGGCAATTCCATTGTAAACAGTTTTACTATTTTATTTATTTTGAAAATTTGGGATGATTTTAACTATTTTTAACTATTTTTTTTTTCTTAATATTTTACTATTTTTATTATTTTTATTATGTATATTTTACTATTTTTTTTTTTTTGCAATTTTTTTTAGTCAATTATTTCAGTTATCAAAATTTAAAATATTAAAATTTAAAATAAACTTGACCAAAATTTTTAATTATATAGTTATATAATTATTAACAAGTCAATTGTAATAAAAACAGTATGTAATAGTATAGTATGTATTCTTTGTTTGCTTGTTTACCGATTATGACGATATGATAATTATAATAATTATTATAAGTACGAAAAAAGAGAGTTAAAAAAAAAAAAATAAAAATATATTACATTAATTTTTATAGTTAAATTGATAAAATTGATAAACCCATATAACATTACCGTTCCGTTCTAATAATAATGAAATTTTGATTGGATAAACAGAAAATAAACAAATTGCTTCAACGTGCACTGCATATCCATACATACAGGAAATCATTATCAATCATAATGATTATATTTTTATTACACTATACGCTACATTTATCACCATTTACAAATTGAAAATGTATCACAAATTACAAATATTTCATAATTTTGAATTGTAAGGTTGATTTTTTTATTCTTTATTACCCTCACCAAGGTACAAAAAGGCACCAAGGTACAAAAAGTACAAAGGTATCGTTGTTTTATGATGATAACCCAAAATTTTTAAAAATAAGTTTATCAAAAAAATCAATTATTAATCGACATTGTTCAATTTTCATTTTTTTTCTCACGCTTTTTTTCACACTTTTAACTCATTTTAATGATGTCAACGATAATGATTTCAATATTGAATACAACTTTCTGAATCGATTTATTATTAATGTACGAATTTATGATCTATGTGATTCATTATTCATATTCGCCCATTTATTTATTTTTGAAAAAGATAAATTGATAAACTATAATTTATGCATCAGCCTCGATAGTCAACGAAAGTTAATGTTAGTATATACAGTAATTAGTATGTTAATGATAATAATTAAACGATTCGTAAACAAATATAATGCATACATCCATCATACATATACAATGCAGAACCCCCCCCAGAAAAGTCGGAGGTAATTATTGGTGGCATATTAATAATATTTAGTAATTATTTTTACGTCATTTTGTTAATATTTAGCTCTCTTTATTTAAAATTCAGGTTTTTTTTTTTTTTTTTCGTTCATATAATTATATAAATGTAGTTTTGTTTTATTTTTTTTATTTTTATTTTCTTTTTTAAAACGATATAAATTATAAAAGTATAATAAATAATTATAATAAGAATTCTATTATTAGTATTAAATAATTTGTAGATATGGGAAATAATTCTTCAAAATCATGGATCGAATGTGCGAATAAAAATGAAAATATGGAAAATGATTTTTTTGAGAGGAATATTAATGAAAAACAGAAAAAACAAAAACAACCACAAAAACAACAAAAGCAACTATTACTAATACAAAATCATCAACAACAACAACAGCAACATCAACAAGAAGTAAGAAAGATTTCAAAATTCTTCTTCATTATGATTCAATAACCTTTTTTTTTTTCTTATCATTATATGATTATGATTTTTTTTTTTTTTTGTGTGCAAAAAAAAAAAGTTTATTACAGAAATTCAAATGGAAAAATCATTTCAATCAAAACAAATATTCAAAAATCATAACGATGATTATATTTTTGATTATCAGGCATTATTAAAAAGGTAACTTAAATATGTTTAATATATTTATATATTATATTATACAATATAATTATATCTTATATTATTAAAAATATAGAGGACCAAATAGTACAATACACTTAGCTCTCGTACATCATCGATCGAAACCATCATCGTCATCGTCATCGTCGTCATCGTTGTCGTCATCAACAACAGCAACAGCAATAGCAAAACGTATTCAATCATGTATTCAAACGGTAGCAATTAAAATTATTCCGATGGCAGTAAAAAAAATTGATTATCAATGGTACTTAAATGAAAGACATATTGAAGAAGATGAAGCGATAAAATGGAATGATGAAAATATTAAAAATGAAGCAAAGATTTTGTCGTGCCTTTCTCATGTAAATTTATTAATAATATATAATATATTACATTAAATAAATATGCTATATTTAATATATATTATATGTTATTTATATATTTAATTTAATTATTATTAATAATAATTATTATTATTATTTCATAAATAGCCAAATATAATTAATCTATTAGGATGGTTTATTATGAGTAATTCATTCTATTTAGTATTGGATTATCACGGAGGAGGAACATTGGCTGATTGTATTCCACAAAATGGTCGAGATGAATTTTCAACTTTATGTTTGATGATTCAAGTTTTTGAGGCAGTTAAGTATATTCATGATCTTGGAATTGCTCATTGTGATATTAAGGTATTATTATTATTATGTCGTCACTGTTATTATTTATTTCATTGTTAGTTAATTTTAATTATTAATTGATAAAATTTATTGAATTTGAATCTTAGCCTGAGAATATTTTATTATCGGCTGATCGTAAAAGATTAGTTCTCGCTGACTTCGGTCAAGCTCAATTGGAAAATGATAATGAAATAAATAATCCAGAATATTTTCAATCTAAATTTATTGGAGGAGGAACGGTAAATATCTGAATATATGTAAATATATATGAATATATATGTGTATGTGGATAACATTATTAATCAATATTACTATTTATATATGATATAGAATGAATATAATGGACCGGAACGTAATTCACAAGAAAATTTACCATTTAAAGGACTTAAAAAAGCTGATATGTATAGTTTGGGAGTTACGGTTTTTGTCGTGTAAATTTTCATTTCCTTCCCTTCGTATGTATATACATCTCTATTTTTTTTTACTTCTTTTAAATAATAAACAAGAAATTATTCATTTAATTCAGTTTAACTCGTGAATTACCTTACAATCAAAATACATCGATTCAAGAACAAGTATTGATGTTTCCTGATCATATCTCTTTACCAGGTAATTATAAATTTCTAATGTTTATTAATTTATTAAATTTCTAATATTTTCTAATATAAGTTATATTGATTTATGTAATAAATTGTATTGTAGCTCAACACTTTGTTCAAAGTTTACTTTCCGTAGATCCATGTCGACGGATGACGATCTCTGAAGTTTTTGATCATTCCTGGTTAAGAATTCATGATATCACTGGTCGTCATTATCAACCGCGTCGTCGTCTTCGTCGTTTTCATTCTTTAAAATTTGCTAATTCCCATACTTCCCATACTTCTACCAATAATACTTCCAATTCTAATAATTCCAATAATACTATGACTACTACGAATAATACAAATTCGAAGCGAAATAATTCTAGTAACCCTCGTAAAAGAACTATCTGGAAACGACTCATAACGATGAATATTTGTAATAACGATAACAACAACAACAAACAATAGAACAATAATAAATATAATAATAATTAATATAAATCACCACATCAATGGGAGGATTTGTCTAATTTCGAAACATAAAGGAAATTATTATAAATGGTCATCAATTTCCTTTTTTAGCCACAAGAAATCAAATAAATTTTTATTTTTATTTTATTTTACACAATATATAATTGTATATATTTTATATTGTAAATATTTATATTTGGGTGCGAATTTTTTTTTTTAAATAAATTTTTAATTTATTTCCAAATTTTATATATGTATAAAGAAGATTCTTAATTATAAATTATATGTGAAGAATATATATAACCACCCCAAAATAATAATGCATAATTAAAAAAAACTTTGGGGAATTTGAAACGGAATCGCCTAAATAAGGTAGAAATAAATTAAATATTTTAAGTAAACTATACTAAATTTGAAGAGTTGAGTAATCAAGTGTAATTAAATGATATATAAGGCAAATTTCTTGGACTTCAGTTTTTAGGAATATCCGACAAGATAAAGAATTTAGTTCTAATAATAAGTAATACACTAAATATAAAATATATGCCACCAAAATAAATTACCAAATAAACTACCAAAATTATATGATAAAAAAAAAATTAAAAAAAATAATAATTCTAATAAAACAACCACGAATTCACATTCTTAATAAATAAATTACACTGAAAATGTATTACTAACTACATTTGAGAGTCTCTTTGATAGTCGCCTTTGATTAGAAGGACGACTACTATTATTATCTATTGTACTTATATTACTTATATTCGAAATGCTGAATCTCGATGAAGCTCGTTTCTATTTATTTAAATTATGTATAACAAATTATATACAATATAATAAAATTTAGTAAATTAAATAATAAATTTAGTAAATATAATAATCTTAAAGTAATAAAAGATACCTTTCTTAAAAATTCTTTCTCGGAGAGAATATTTTTCGCTACATGTAATGCTAAAGTCATTGTTGTAATCATAGGATCAACTCCAGTTGCTGTAGGGAATAAGCTTGAATCAGCAACGTAAAGATTTTTTACTTCCCACGTTTCGCCCGTTGGTTTAACTACGGATTTAGAAGGATCATCTCCCATTCGACTATAAAAATACAGTGTTCAGTAATTAAATTAAATAAAAATAGATATTTCCGTTAATTAATCAGTATCTAATTACCATGTTCCCATTTGATGTATACTTCCAAGACTTGCATGTTCTGAAATTGACGATTTTTTAACTTTTTCGAGGTATTGCTCAAATAAAGGATCATTTAAAGAATTTTCATTAGCAACTTCAAATTCTTCAAGTCCCGCAATACAAGTTCCAACTTTTGATGCTCCGGCGGCTACCAAAATTTTAAGTCCAGTAATAATTCCTATCGATACACTCTTGGCATCATTATTGCTTAATTTATATTCTATATTATAGTCGTCGTCTTTGTTAATTTTGATATATTTACTTGTTTCACCTTTCTCAATTTTAATTTGTCCACCATTTCTATCACGAGTTATGGTAAGAAGTGGAACGATGTGATTATATTGAAGCATAAATTGTTTATAATTAAATGATGATGATTTCCAAGGGAAAGTTGCATTCATTATAACTGGATGATGAGATCCTACTACTATTCTTGTACCGTAATGTTTACCATCAACATTTTCATTAGCGTCGCACGTCTAAAAAAAAAATCGATTAAAACAAAATATATATTTTATATTAGATAAATGCTTGATAATATAAGATATATGTTAGATACATTAGATATATATATTGCATATATATATAATATGCTAGATATATATACACTAGATATCGTGGTACTTACTGCTGTCATTGTAGTTCCAGAATAAGGTTTAATTTCTTTTTTGGGGAAAATACCATAAACTCCAGCAGTTGGATGAACGTATAAATTTTTTCCAATATTTTTATTTTCAAGTCCACTTCGTAAAAGTATAGCTGGAGTATTAATTGCTCCACTAGCTAAAATAACTTTTTTAGACATTACTCTAAATTTATGATTATTATTATTATATTTAATATTAGAAATAGCTTCAACTCCAATTACTTGTCCTAATTCAATTATTACTTTTTCTACATAACAATCTTGAATAAATTTCGCCCCAAATTCTTTAGCATCTTTTAAATATGTCATCACGGCACTTTGTTTTTCTCCATATTTGCATCCAAATTCACACCATCCACATTCATGAGGTTTAGAAGCCGAATTTTGAGGAATTATTTCATAAGATGCTCCAAGATTTTTACAACCATTTATCAGAATCTTATTGCATTCATTATGATTAATATTATTTTCATTCACACCTAAACGATTTTTAATTGCTTTCATTGAATCATTAAATTCTTCTTCTAAGAAATAAGGTAATCCGAATTTTTTGGCCCATTCTTCTCGTAAATGATTAGGTGGCTAATAAATAATAAATAATTAATTAATTATTGTAATTATTATCCGACACGTGTACAATAGTGTATAGTGCATAAAATAAACATACAACACATGATAGATACTTTACCTCCACGGCAGCTGACCGTCCTACAGTAGTACCTCCTCCAAAATTAGATCCAGCTAAAACGTTTAAACCACCAACTTCCGATAAAATTTCGCTTCCTCTTTCATATAATTTTTGATATCCATCTTGTTGATTCAATCCAAGTTCATCTTGTGAATAATGATGACCTTTTTCAATTACTAATACAGAATTTCCTGTCATTCTAGCTAACCTCGCAGCAATTACGCTACCTCCTGCTCCTGATCCAATAATTACTATATCAAATTTTAATTCGGTTACATCTTCATCAATTTCAATAAATTCATAATCAGAAAATTTATTAAATCTCGCTTTTCCTTCTGATGATGATAATTCAGGATCTATCCCGGGATATCCAATCATTGGATAAAAATCATATGGATCCATCCAAAATGTGGTACAAACTAAATATGAAAATAATTTAAACATTTGTCTAATTGAAGGTGAATGACTAGTACTCCATTTAGATATAATTGCTTCACGTTGTCTTTGTCCTAATTCATGAAAAGGTTTCATGGAACCTGTTAATCTATAACTATTAGTACCTCCTTTACCACCTAAACGTTTAAGATTTGATTTTACTTCTGCCAATTTATTTGAGGGAATTTTTGATAAACGATCAATTATTTTATCTAAAAAATCTTTTTGATTTCTTACATCAAATTTACCAAATTCACGAATCTTATTTTCATATTTTATCATTAAATTAGTTTGGGTAGTGCATAATTCATCAAGTTGAGATTCTTCTTCAAGTTCACCTATTAAAGTACCACAAATTGCTTTCAATGCTCTAATTTGTTTATCATTTAAACGTAACATATTACCATCAGAGTATCCGAAAGAAATTTCACTGTCTGCTTGTGATATTGTGGAATGAACTGAAATTCGTTCTTCCGTCATCATTAATAATATTTATTAATTAATAAATTATAAATATATATTATTATAAAAAAAAAAAATTTGAATTGAAAATTGAAAATTGAATGTAATAAGTGAAAGAAGAAAGCGATGAAGGAGATGAGAAAAAAAAAATCCCCACGAATTGACAGCGTACCAATTTTTATAAATCTAAAAGGAAAATTACATTGAAATTATCTAACTATTTACCAACGCGTTTCTATTGCTATTATTAAGTAATGATCATAAATATGTGACCATGTGCTTTACTGATTTACAATGATTTTCATTGATTATTTATTATTATTTCAAATTTTGTGTTAGTCTAGAATAACGTTTATCCCCGTTTCGGAAGGAGAAGTCACGTTAACATCACGTAGTGGACTTCTTTCAGAATCCCCGTGCAAACTAACTTTCCCATTCTACTCTTTTTTTTTTGAGGAAGATGTTCGTTGCACAAAACGAAAAGTATGATAATGAATAGTAATATAATACGCAATCCAATCAAGTGCCATTTAAAATAGCAATGCCCACCTTCACCCACCTAAGGGATAAGAGGCATTTATACATATTCTTTCTTTTTTGAAAAAAATTTAGTGAACCAATAATTACAAGGAGTTGAGTGAAACGACGACTATCGTTAGATATTTGCAATTATAATAGTAAATGAAATTCAAGATAATCTGATTTTTTTTAAAAAAAAAAATATAGAATATAAACAACATCATCCCTCACAATTTTCATGAAGCTATAATGTTCTACCAGCACAACAAAACAACAATTTAAATTCATAATAGATTAGTCAGTAGGGAAAATTTTTACTATGTTTTTCGCGTTACACGACGCTATATCTATTCCTACATGCCGTCGAAATTTAAAAAATAACAAAGGCACTTATTAACTTCCTTTTCTGAATTTCGACGGCACGTTGGATCTATTTTACCTTGTGATTCAAATTTAGTGGGTTAATAAAGCTCATTGGATTCCTATTGTTGAGATGAACAACACAACATATCTACATCGAATTATCAATAAAAATAGTTTGCTTATTTCGTACAAATTCTTATGACTTATCTATATATTGTTTGAGTGCTAGTTTCAATATACTAATGAATCGCACCTATCTCTCAAAATCAATTTGCATCTTTTACTTTAAAAAAATTCAAAAATGAAAATAATCCTTATAATCTACATATGGAATTATTAGAGAGGATAATAGCCAAAAAGGATGTAAAAGTTGTAATTAATTGCGTCATATGGATGAAGAATTGCAGCAGTTATCTTTTAGTCACGGGATTTGATAAAAATTCTGGACCACTTTGAACTTTTTCGGTGATCTTATCTTACCCGGCAATTATTTTTTACAACAATGAAATGGTAATTAAAAAAGATTATGATATGTTAGAAATGAGATATATCTCTGAAGAAGCATAATATATTGTTCAACAATGTCTTTCGGAATTTTAACATATTCTACTATATTATAAAATTTCATAAGGCATATCCCTATAGTACCCACAATTTATGGAAATTTACATAGCATAATAATATTACATTTTACATAATACAATATTACCATAAATTTCTGAAATATTACATAAGCAATATTTAATATTCTGAAACATTATGCCTTATAAAATTTCCTAATTCGTGATCCATGAGTCAACTGCAAAAACTCATATATAATTTTGGTGATAAGTGTATATAGTTTTATGCGTAAAAAAGTATGTAATAACTTCCTTCTGTTAATTCTAAAGATGAGCTAAATTTCATTTTTTTTATGATCATTAGATAACAAATTATCTTTATAAGTTTCAAATTATTAAATTATATTTTTCCCAAGTTAAATTTCTCGGTTATTAGGAAAAAATTTACTGGACTTTTAGCAAGAAGATAGCCAAATGCCATATTTTCATGCATGCCTATAACATTAGTTTTTTCAACAATTGATATTTTACATTGGTGAAATGCCAGATCATTTATAATTTATATATAATATTTATAAGTTACATCAAAATTATATGAATTCTTGTAGTTGGCTCACAGATCACGAATTAAAACATTAAGAAAATGCATATGTCGACAGGTTGAATATAATTGCAGATAATGCAATTCAAGAGAAATTTTTTTTTTCCAATTTTTTAATCATTCAATGGGCACCCAATAATAAATATCAAATTTTACAAGAACTGATATTGTAAACCAAAAATTTTAAGCAAGAACAAATTTACTCTTCAGTAAAAGAGTCATGTATCTTATCTCTTATTGAGTATGGGATATGTAATGGTACTATAGCACCTGCAAATAATTTTACAAATCCTCAATATTGCAGATTTTTGGTATAAAATTTACAATTCAATAAAAGTTGTGAACTTTTGTTCAAAAAATTTTTAAAGATTTAGTATCTACAGGTTTTCCTCTTGAAAATGATGTTTTTCATCTCAATTAGACGATTTTTGATGGAGTTAGCTTAGAGATAAATTTTATCAATATAACTTTAAATAATATTCTCAACAATTAGTGAGCGAATTTTTGTATCATCAGACTCAATTTATCAAGTGATCTTTTTGGAAAATGTCTAATTTAAAAATAAATAGATATCGATTGAGTTATTTATCTTAAAGTATCATTTAAATTATATAATTGTAAATTAATTATATAGCAAATTTAATTAAATTATTTTTTTTTTTACTTAATATTGAAATTGAAATGTAGTCGTGAAATAATGGCAGACTTGTAATTACAAATTGTGGGATTGCAATACGGGCAGTAAGTACATAACCTGCAACTTATAATTATAAGTAACATTTTAACTATAGGGATAAAAATTTGGAAGAACAATTAATTCAAACTACATTTTCTGTTTAAGGATCTAAAATCAATAAAAATGCTAAAAGCATCAGGAATTTTATAAGGTATAAATTTCCGGAATTCTTACATTAAATGAGAAATTCCAGTTGGGCATAAATTTGGGACTTAAATATCTTAACAGATGTTAATATTACAAAGATGAAGCACATATTATCTTTGTAATTCAGAACCAGGAGTTTTTGTCAATTTGGAATTATCTTAGTAAAAAATTTCTTCCTGTCCTGTTACATAAATTGCAAGAGACATCAAAAAAAAATTTAGCTAATGTAAATTTGTGAAAACTCCTCTATAATACTGTGGGATTTTAATATCAGGCAAATTTCTTTTTTTCATTGTTTATACATTCTAACATCTAAGTGAAAGTGTCCAGCACAATATTATACATATACAGTATTTACAATTTTATCGTATTTGTATCTGTTTAAATAAATGAAAAATAACTGTCAATTTTTCCACTGTTTAACCAATTGACTTACCCTCCAACTTATTTGCTTTATTTCTTCTAATGTTCAATATATCTGTTTTATTCTATTTTTTGTTATTTTTATTAGTTTAGTACAAAGAAGAAATTTCAACTAATATATATATATAAAGTATTATATATACTTTATTAATTTCACTTAGGAGCAATGGTTGCAAAAATTTATGTAAAAAATCATTTTTAATTCTTAAAATGTATGTGAATATAAAGTCCATTCCCATCTTAGTTGAGTCTATACTTATATAATTATCCCAATATATATATATATATATTGGTTGCTGGGTGAAACCTATTTTGGAATTTTGCAAAGGTAAAACCCTTACTTATAACAATTTAAGCTATTGGCAAATTTTATTATCTGGTAAAAGTCTTTTCCTTTAATTAAAAATAATAACTACTATTTAAGTATTATCATATGTGTTCATGCTAACATGTGCATTCGTACCTATTTTTTCATTAGAAAATTTTATAAGCCATCTGCAACATTTCTGTAATTTTTTTTGTATATAAATTTTTTTTTATTTATTCACAATTTATAAAATATGGAGCGATCTTTTTACTAAGGTATTTCTAAGATAGACAGAAAGGTTTTATTAATGACCATAATAAGATATTTGTTTCATTTGTGTAGCATCAATATTCAGTTATTGCATTCTAAATATATACTGAAAAAAAATTCAATATAGTTTTATAATTACAAACTATATATTAATTAAATATAAAAATTTGGCAAAACCTCATCAACTGGAAAACCGTTCCGGTCTATCATTTTTAAAAGCCATTTGACAAAACAGTTTACACCCATTTTACTTTTGCCAGTTGGCAAAATCTACAGTTCAACAGGTACCTCAGGTATATCATATCACATGATAAAGAATACTTTTCACCTAACATCTGGCCATTTTTTAAAATAAAGTATTTAACAATTTTTCACTGTGAAAGTTTCAAAAATCTCTAGGTCTTCAAAATATTAAGGCCTGTTAACTTTCAGAGGTTAATGTTTTTGAAACATTATGAAGCATTATGATTGTTAACTCGTAGAGGTTAACATTATTGAAATATTATAATATTTTCAAAAATGGTAATAATCAATAATATTTAAAAACTTTTACAACGAAATATTACAAAATACTGTTTTAAAAAGTTCTCTGATGTTGACTACCTATTTGCAATCTATACTTACCTATTTACGGCTTCCCAAAAAATTACCTTACCTTATATTAAAAGAATCAGAACGAGTATATATCACTTTTATTCAATTGACAATAAATATCTCATCTAAATTAAGTAATTAACATTTATATTTATAAAATGTAATTCTGGAATATCATTAATCGAAATTTTAAGATCAAATCTTTATATCTGATATATTTTCTTAAATTTACAAATTTTTTAATATTTTATGATAATGCTGATCACATTTAATGGTGATACTGAAAAAATACTAACTAGTTTAATGAGTATTAATTTTTTTTTTTTAATTGATTAATATGTCTTTCTGCAATATCATTCAGCACTTTCGTAGGAGGATTTTGCAACCTCGCCTGTTATCTCCTCTATCTCAAGTTCAATTCATTCAACCTTCACCATTACTTTCAAGATCTTACGCAAACTCTACTTTTCATTCTCGATTTCCTTCTCCACAACTTTCTTTCGTACAAGCTATAATTGTATGAACATATTTGTTATCTGTTGTTTATTACAATATTCAGTTTTCTAATTACATTCTCACTATTTACAGATTTATAGTGCACCTTTTTTTTTATTTAACATTTTAATTTCCTTAACCGACAATTATAATAAATATGAAATCAGACGTGTCAACAATGCCATACAAAAATGTACTCTACCTGAATTGAATATTTCAAGTGACAAGTATTATCCTCGATCTCAAGTTTTAGAACAACTCAAGAAAATTTTTACACCTCAAAAGAACAGTCGACCTTATTATTTTATATATGGTAAACATGGAATTGGAAAATCAACATTGATTAAAATGGCATTAAGAGAAGTTGGACAGGGTATTGTTTATGTTGATATTCCTCCTGATATTAATGATTTTGGTAAAAATTTTGCAAAAGCTATGAATATTAAAATATCAGATTTAACTGATAATGGTAAGTTATTATTTACTATTTACTTTATTAATTGATTTCCAACTGTTTTAATATTTATTTTATTTTATTTTTCTTTGTAGATAATAATGCATCATGGAAGATAGCTCTAAAAGCTTTTGAAAGAGCTTCTGAAGATTATAAAGCAAAATATGGCAGACCCTTAATTATTATTTTTGATAATATTGATCGATTAATTCCTGAAAATAAAGAAATCCTTGATTGGCTTCAAAGAAATTTAATTGAATTTGAAAGTTATAATTATAAATATATTACAGTATTTGTCAGCAGTAAAAATTTAGTCCCCGAAGGGAGTTGTAAGTGTTACTTAATTGATTTTTTTAATCAAGCATAGGTATGCAGTATTTATGAAATAATTTTTTTTATTAATTTTAGCGTATGGATATTGGGTAAATGTGAAATATTTTGAAATTGGAGATCTTACAGAAGAGGAATCTATTAATTACCTTGTTAATAAAAAAAATATTAAAGAAGAAGAAGCAAAAAAAATATATGAATTAGTTGGTGGATGCATTATTGATTTAGAAAAAGTGGCAGATGATTTATTTTCTGGACAATCCTTTGAAGGTAGAATTGATTTTATATTATATAATTTAATTTGATTAAGTTCATTTTTATATTTTCAATATATTTCTATAATTTATATAATTTATTTTATATATTTTATTAATATAGATATTAAGCAAAAAATTAAAATTGAAGTTGGAAAGAAATTCAGAATGGCAAAACTTCTTCCGGGTGATCAATATTATAAAATGGGAAGGAATATTATTAATGCTTTATTGGATTCTAAAGAGATTTGTCACTCAGAATTATGGAAGTTATCCGATTATTTAGAAAAGGGTAAAAAACTCTTGAAAAAAAATATATTTGAATATCACCCTGACACTCATACAATTACATTACAGTCAAAATCAATAGAATACTACATACGAGAAAATGCTGATTTATTTATCAAATAAGTCTACTTATATAATTATCCTGACATATTACATGATAAATAATAATTTTATCTAATAAAACAATGATTTGCAAATAAAGAAATCATGAGTCAATTATGATTGGTTTTAAGTCAGGTGATTCAAAATTCAAGATACACAAAATTATTCTTTTTACCATATAAAAATTTTATTTCAATATTTAAATTAATAATAAATATTATAAATATTCGCTGATAAAATAAATATTATTATTAAAGATTGTTTACTAATTTAAAATTGATATAAATGATAAATTTACAGAAATTTTATATGGGTACAAGACTTTAGACTGAAATATCCCAATAGATATCGATGCTACATATCATTCATTGGCCAAATGGAAAAGAATAGGTCAGTTTTATAATAAAGATGATTCTGATTTATGCAAGTTTGAATAGTTTATTAAGTATTGACAGTTGGCTATAAGTAGGAATCTCTGATTTATAAATATGATTTCTGCTTTATTTCAATTTATGAATAGGAATTTCTGATCTATAAATTTTCACAAATAGGATAGGATGCTCAATTTGTGCTAAAAATTTATATTTGGATTTTTTTTTTTTTTTTGTTCATTTAACCTTCTTGTAGCTTAGAATTAAGACTTTTTATAAACATTAGAAATACCTTAGTAAAAAATTGCTCCCTGTTAAAATAAATTGTAAAAAGAAAAGTTGTGGAAATTTCCTATAATTCTGTTGAATTTTAATATAAAGTAAAATTTAATTTTGACTTTTCTTGTAATTTACACGACAGTAATAATTTTTATTAAGATCTAATATCAACAAAAAGCTCTGGTTCTTAATTACAATATTCCGCATTTCATCTCTATAGCATCCATCAATATCTGTCAATATATTCTGGCCCAAAATCTATATTATTTTTAAAAATTCTGGATATTTAGTAAAATTTCTTAATGAAACAATTAACTAATAAAATTAAATCATATGGGCACATTTTTTGAATCTAATCACAATTATTCAAATCCTTAATTGTAATTGAATCAACTGAGATTTATAAAGATAAAAAATAATAAAGAACCCAGAACTTTATTATATTAATTACCATTTAACCTCTAAGTGTAAGTGAAGTTAAGTGTAAGTGAAGTGACGGCACAATAGTTTACATATATTTATATTTTAAGACTTTATTAAGTAAGTTAAGGTATTTTATCCATTTAAAAAAATGACTAAATGACTGTCAACACAATTGTTCTACTGCCTAACCAATTGATTTACCTTCCAACTTGTGACAACTAATTTATTTCTTTCTTCTAATGTTCAATGTAGTTTTTTTATTTTATTTTTTGTTTTTTCTGTATTAAAGGAGAAACTTTAATTAATAGACAATGGTGTATTATATATATACATTATTAACCTCACTTAGAAGCAATGGTTGTAGGAATTTATGTAACCTATAATTTTTAATTCTTAAAATACACACAGATGATTTATAAATACAGCAAATATCAAAAAAACAAAAATTGGCTAAATTTTTAAAACCTTGTTAAAAATTCATCTGTAAATTTTTTTATTTTACAATACTTTGTAAAAGTTTTCAAAATCTACTGTAAAATCAAATGCTTTTGAAATATCAAACCTGTTAACTTGTGGAAGTTAACATTTTGAAATATTACAACTGTTAACTTGCAGAGGTTAACATTTTGAAAATATTTTGAAATATTATGACCATTAACTTGTAAAATTACCATTTTTTAAATTGAATAGTATATTAGTAGTTTTAAATTTATTGTATTTCAAAAATGCCATATTCATAATATTTGAAATTCAAAAAATCTATAAAATTATTCACAATTAATATTAAAATCATTTAAGGCATGATCCGCCTAAAAACGGCACTATTGACATATAAAAAAGTGGGGGTAGATTTATATATATTTTAAGTATATTTCAAATCTTTTATGGGTCAAAAACATAATAATTCATAATAATTTTAAAAAATTGATTTTTTCAGTGTATACTTAACAGACACTAAAACTTATCTGTGATTTCGTTGTACCAATTTATACTTACCTATAGGGCAGCTGATGATTTATAGTTTTATTAAATAACTTATTCCGGATTTTATTATAAAACGAGTGCCGATCTTAGCCGGATCACGTTTTAAAGATGTTTTAATGGAAGAGAAAAATCTCAATGTATTTTTAATTCATTAAGGTGCCAACTAACTATAGTCAGGAGCATATAAACCTCCACAAGTTTATAGCTATAATATTTCAAAATATTTTCAAAATTGTTAATTTTCACAATTTAACAGTAATAACCTTTGATTCCACTGGAGGTTTTAAAAACCATATAACACAAAATATTGCAAAATACTCCATTTTAAAATTTTTTACCAAAAAATTGCCTTACCTTTATGTAATTCTGAAATATCAAAAAATAACTAAATTTTATGATCAAATCTTTACACTTTCTTATCTAATAAATAAAATTTTAAAGCATATTTGTTTTTTAGTTTCTTATATTTTACATACAGTATAAGCAATGTTGTAAATTTGACACGTCTCCAGGTTTTTTTATGCCCTTATGTTCGCTTTGGCGCTTTCCTGCCCTTAACTAGCTTATAAAAACAAATAAACCTTTACGAATACATGTTAAAACAACTTTAATTAATGCTTAAAGTAGATTTTTATAAAAAAAAAAATTTTTTTTGTTGTTTACGTTTTAATATGTTTTCAAATAGGGTTTTGAAGTTTTGTATTTTGTCTTTTTGATATTTTTCAATATTTTTTTTATATATGAAAGTAAAATCCCAATAAATGTATTTTTATCAACAAATCTAAAAAAAAATTTCAAAAAATTTTAGGCTCTATTAAAAATAATATTGTTTCCTATAAAAAACTATTTTTACTTTATGATAGGCATATTAGATTAATGGATACTGGAAAAAAAATACTAACTAGTTTTATATTAACAAAATGAGTATCTTTTCTTTCTGTAATATCATTCAGCATTTATAGGAGAATTTTGCAACCTCATCCATTGTCTCCTTTATCTCAAGTTATATCCATTCAACCTTCACATCAGTAAATTTTTTTTAGGCGCAAATTTTCGAAATATTACGTAAATATTTCGGAAATTTACGCCTAAAAAAATCCGTTTTTTGAATTCGCTCGCGATTTACGAGACAGAAAGTGATTTTTACTTAAGATGGATCGAAAGTCCTGATTCCTGGCTACATGTTGATATATGTTTTATTTCTATAGCATCGATATTCATCTAAATATTCACGTTTAAAGTCGGACGTCCGTGAAAATTTTCAGCAAAAAATTAATGGAAATTTTCGAAAATCTCCGTAAGTAAAAATTATTTCACAGACGTCCGACTTTAAACGTGAATATCTCGATGAATATCGAAGCTAAAGGAATGAAACATATATCGACATGTAGAGCTTTTGATCCATCTTTAGAAATACCTTAGCAGAAAATCGCTCCTGTTACGTAAATCTCGAGCGAATTCAAAAACGGATTTTTTTGTAAATGGCATATTATTATGTAATATTACGCCTAAAAAATTTACTGATGCACCATTACTTTTAAGATCTTACACAAACTCTACTTTTCATTCTCCATCTCCAAACAATATATGATTGTATGAACTATTTGTTATTTGTTGTTTATTACAATATTCAGTTTTCTAATTAAATTCTCACTATTTACAGATTTTTATTGTATCTTGTTTTTTATTGGGTACTTTATTGGGTACTTCAATATCTGCCACTTCGTTTTTCTTACATGAAAATTATTATAAATAATATGAAATCAGATGTGTCAACAAAGCGCCATACATAAAAGTACTCTACCTGAATTGAATATTTCAAGTGACAAGTATTATCCTCGATCTCAAGTTTTAGAACAACTCAAAAAATTTTTACACCTAGAAAGTACTCTGGATCATATTATCCATGGTAAACATTGAATTGGAAAATCAACATTGATCAAAATGGTATTAAGAGAAGTTGGAAAGTGTGTTGTTTATGTTGATATTCCTCCTGATATTAATGATTTTGGTAAAAATTTTGCAAAAGCTATGAATATTAAAATATCAGATTTAACTGATAATGGTAAGTTATTATTTACTATTTACTTTATTAATTGATTTCCAACTGTTTTAATATTTATTTTATTTATTTTTCTTTGTAGATAATAATGAATCATGGAAGATAGCTCTAAAAGCTTTTGAAAGAGCTTCTAAAGATTATAAGCAAAATATGGCAGACCATTAATTATTATTTTGGATAATATTGATCGATTAATTCCTGAGAATATAGAAATCCTTGATTGGCTTCAAAAAAATTTAATTGAATATGAAAATTATAAATATATTACAGTATTTGTCAGCAGTGGAAATTTAGTTCCCCTAGGAACAAGTTGTAAGCGTTACTTAATTGATTTTTTTAATCAAGCATATGTATGCAGTATTTATGAAATAATTTTTTTTTATTAATTTTAGCATATGGATATTGGGTAAATGTGAAATCTAATTACCTTGTTAATAAAAAAAATATCAAAGAAGAAGTAAAAAAATATATGAATTGGTTGGTGGATGCATTATTGATTTAGAAAAAGTGACAGATGATTTATTTTCTGGACAATCCTTTGAAGGTAGAATTGATTTTATATTATATAATTTAATTTGATTAAGTTCATTTTTATATTTTCAATATATTTCTATAATTTATATAATTTATTTTATATATTTTATTAATATAGATATTAAGCAAAAAATTAAAATTGAAGTTGGAAAAAAATTCAGAATGGTAAAACTTCTTCCAGGTCAATATTATTAAATAGGAAGGAATATTACTAATTCTTTATTGGATTCTAAAGAGATTCGTCACTCAAAATTATGGAAGTTATCCGATTATTCAGAAAATGGTAAAGAACTCTTGATGTACATATTAATTAATATCTATTAATAATAAAATTAAGATTATTATTTTTAATTATCTAAAATCATTATAAATGCTACAAACATAACAAATTTACATTACTTACAGAAATTTCCCACCTATAAATTTTCATAAATAGAGTGTCCAATTTGTATAAAAATTTATATTCTGATTTTGTTCATCTGATTAGTGCAGTCTATCTTGTAACTTAGAATCAGGACTTTTTATAAATTTAGAAATACCTTAGTAGAAAATTGTTCTTTATTATACAAATTATAAAAAGAAATAAAAAAAAAATTTATCTGGTGTAGATTTGTGTTAATTTTTCTATAGTACTGTTGAATTTTATTATTAAGTAAAATTTCTTTTCTTGACTTTGCTCATAATTTATAATACCAATAGAAAGCTCTGGTTTTTAATTGCAATGTTCTGTATTACATTTCTGTAATATTGATATCTGGCAATATATTCTGGTCCAAAGTCTGCATGATATTTAAGTTTCTGAAATTATACTTTATAAAATTTCTTAATAAAACAATTCACTATTTAAAGTTAATAAACTAATATCAAAAATCAAATTTTGTAATACATATGGTTAAAGATTCATCTGGAAAATTTTTCAAAACATAATATTTCACTATGAGGTTTCAAAAACCTCTAGTGGAATTAAGGTTGCAGGCAAAACCTCTTGGTTTTACCAATTGACTAATTGACAAAATGAAGAAAGTAAACCTTATTATTATAAAACTTTATTAATAAGTTTGGCAAAATATGAAACATATTAAACTTATTAGAAGTAGTAGAAGTATAAATTATAATAAAATCTGAAAAACTATAGGTTTTTACCTTTTGTCAAATTGCAAAATAAGTTTTGCCAGACAATCTTAAGTGAAATCAAAGGTTTTGAAATATTACAGCCTGTCCTCTTGTAGAAGTTTACATTTTTGAAAGTATTTTGAAATATCCCAACGTGAAGGTTAATATTTTTGTAATATTTTGTAATATTATGACCATTAACTTGTGGAAGTTATTATTTTGAAAATATTTGGAACTACTGTATTGCGAAATACTCCATTCTAAAATTTTTTCTTATGTTAGACTACCTATTTGCAACCTGGTTTTTCCTATTTACAGCCTGATTAAGTACCTCAGACGATTCATAGATAAGTATTATAGAAAAATTTTCAAAAAGTTGCTTACTTTTAATTAAAATTTTATTTTTCCTATCATTTCATAATTTAGGATTATCTGAACTATCTATAAATTGTCTAAGATCCTTCTGTTCATAAGTTATTCACAATCATTAAAAAATCATCTTATTTGTACTTGTCAAAAAATTTTTCTTACCTTGTATTAGATGGAAAATCTTCTTCATCAGAACAAGTTTAATATATTTCAATTAGCATATTCTGGAATCAAACCTTTATGCATTTATCTAAAGCGTATTTGTTTTTTAAGTAAACTACTACATTAATGGATACTGTAAAAAAAAAATACTAACTAGATTTACATTAGAGAAGAGTATCTTTTAAAACTCTATCAATAATTAATTAACAGTAATGTCTTTCTGCAATATCATTCAGCATTTTCATAGGAGAATTTTTGTAACCTCGCTTGTTACCTCCTTTATCTCAAGTTCTATTCATTCAACCTTCATCGTTACTTTCAAGATTTTACACAAAACTACATTTCATCCTTTATCTCTTCTACCTTTTTCGCGACTTCTTCCAAGCAATATATCAAAGTATAATCATATTTGTTGTTTGTTGTTTATTACGATATTCATTTTGAGTTTCTAATCCCATTTTCATTATTTATAGGCTTTTATTGTATCTTGTTTTTTATTTGGAACTTCACTTATCTTATATGAAAATAGCGAAAACAGACTTGTCCACACAGGTGTGAGAAAGGGTACTCTACCTGAAATGTTCAAGTGACAAGTATTATCCTCAACCTCAAGTTTTAGAACAACTCAATAAGATTTTTACATCTCACTAAATCTTTGATCTGCTTCAAAGTAGTGTTACTGATAATGATAATAAAGGAAATTATATTGCAGTGTTTGTCAGTAGTGAATATTTAGCTCTCCAAAGAATGAGTTACAATTGCTATTTGGTTAATATTTTTTTTTGAACAAGTATAAGTATACAATATTTATGGAATAATAGTTTTTTATTTTTTAGCACGTGGTTATTGGAACATTTTGGAAATTAGAGATTTTACGGAAGAGAAATCAATTGATTACCTGTTTTAAAGAAGATGCAAATATATATATATATTCGAATTAGTTGGTGGATGATTCAGAAAAAGTGGCAGATGATTTATTTTCGGGACAATCAGAATTGATTTTATACTATATAATTTAATTTGTTTTTGGTGCATCTGCATTGGGTTTATTGGTGATAGATAAGAGGTGGATTTCATATTCTGTCCTTAATAAAAATATTGATATTTGTCAAGGTGACAAATTTCTACCCTGAACTAACCCTAATCTACCTTTGACCTTTGCATTTATAATTCAACCAATAAAATTTGATAAAATAACCCATATGCCATAATACAGGTGCATTAAAAAATGTAATCCTTTAATTTAATTAATTTTATTTATGATTTATTTTATATATTTTATAAATATAGATATTTAAGCAAAAAATTAAAATTGAAGTTGGAAAGAAATTCAGAACAGCAAAACTTCTTCCGGGTGATCATATTATAAAGTAAGAAAGATTATTATTATTGGATTCTAAAGAGCTTCGCTTATCAGAATTATGGAAATTCCAAATTATCCGGAAAATGAACTATTGAACAAAAATATATTTGAATATCATCCTGAAACTCGTAAAATTACATTACAGTCAAAATTAATGGAATACTACATACGAAAAAATGCTGATTTATTTATCTTGAGTCGATCAATTCTAATTTATTAATTTTTTATTTCAATATCTAATATTCACTGATAAAAATAATATTATTAAAGGATCTAATATTAATATAAATGTCACAATCATAACAAAATGTAAATTTATATTACTTACAGAAATTTTACATGGGTACAAGAATTGGGACTGAATATCTCAATACTGTATCATTACCGGTTAAAGGAAGTTTTATATAGATTTAATAGGCAGTTGATTTATAGGTAGGGATTTCCACCAACAAATTTTCATAAATAGGATGTCCAATTTGTGCAAAATTATATTCTGATTTTTATTCATTTTGGGCAGTGTAACTTAAAATCATGATTTTTTATAATTATTAAAAATACCTTAGTATAAAATTGCTCCCTATTATAAAAATTATAAAAAGAAATCAAAAAATAAATTTTCTAGTGTAATTTGTGGAAATTTTCAATAATGCTGTTAGATTTTAATTTAAGTAAAATTTCATTTTTTAGACTTGTAATTTATGCAACAGGGACAATTTTTTACAAAGATATTTATAATACCAATAAAAAGCTCCAGTTCTTAAATAACAAGCAGTTTTTGAACCAGAATATCTTGATGAATATCAATGCTACGGAGATGAAATACAGAATCTTGTAATTAAGATTTCTGGAAATTTACACTTTATAAAATTTCAGGATAAAACAATCCTCTATTTGAAACTAATGAGACTAATTGTCAAACAAGTCCAATATCTTCTACGAAGCCTTTTTGATTTAATGATTTATAAAGCACAACACATGAAAAAATTATATATATAGTCAAAAATTGCATCAGAGAATTTTCTAAAACAGAATATTTCACAATATTTTGCTGCAAAATTTTTTGAAAACTCTGGTGAAATTGAATGTTTTTGAAATATTACAGTAGAACCTGTCTATAAGCATACGTGTATAAGCATAACCTGTCTTTAAGCATATAATTTTTCTGGCCCAAGGTCACAAGATTTATATATAATATATATGAAGTCTAAACGTATACATGCATAGCCTGTTTAAATGTTCTTGGCCCGAGGGTATGCATATAGACAGGTTCTACTGTACTTGCAAAAGTTAATATTTTTGAAATATTACAACTGTTAACTTGCAAAGGTTACTTTATTTGAAATATTATGATATTTTCAAAACATTAAACTTCATAAGTTAACAGTCATAATATTTCAAAACTTTTGATTTCACCTTTGCAATGAAATATTATGAACACTCCAACTCCATTTTAAAAAAATTTCTGACGTTGAACTGCCTATTTGTAACCTGCTTTTGACTATTTACAGTCTATTTATAAGTTATTCACAACCATACTTGTTAAAAAAATTGCCATACTTTGTATTGTATGTATATGAAAACATTTCTTTATCAGAACAGGCATATGTCACTTATAGTCAATGGATAATATCATCTAGATCAATTAGCATTAATATTATCAAAATGCAATTCTGGAATATCAAAAAATAACTGAAATTTCAAGATCAAATCTTTATGCACTTATTAAATTTATCTAAAGCATAATTGTTTTTTAAGTAAAAATATTTTTATCGTATTTATGAGTAAATATATTTTATGATTGTGGAAAAAAAAATACTATCTAATTTTATACTAATAAATTAGTATCTTTTACAAACCAATTGAAAATTTTTTAATTGATTAACAGTAATGTCTTTCGTAATATCATTATGCATTTTCGTAGGAGAATTTTGCAACCTCGCTTGTTACCTCCATTATCTCAAGTTCTATTCATTCAACCTTCAAGATCTTATGCAAGCTCTACTTTTCTTCTTTCACCTTTTCTACCTTTTTCACGACCTTCTCCCAAACATTATATAAAAGTATGAACATATTTGTTGTTATTGTTTATTGCAATATTCAATTTTGAGTTTCTAATCACATTCTCATTATTTATAGATCTTTATTGCATCTGGTTTTTTATTGAGTACTTCACTTATCTTATATGAAAATAGTGAAAACAGACGTATTGACAAAGCTGTGCGAAAAGGTACTCTACCTGAATTGGATATTTCAAGTGACAAGTATTATCCTCGACCTCAAGTTTTAGAACAACTCAAAAAGATTTTTACACCTCAAAAGAACAGTCGACCTTATTATATTATCTATGGTAAACATGGAATTGGAAAATCAACATCGATTAAAATGGCATTAAAAGAAGTTGGACAAGGTGTTATTTATGTTGATATTCCCCTTGATACTAATGATTTTGGCAAAAGTTTTGCAAAAGCTATGAATATTACAGTATCAGATTTAACTGGTTATAGTAAGTTTTTATTTACTACTACATTGATTGATTAACAACTGTTTTAATCCTTATTTTTATCTTATTTTCTTTTTTTTTTGTAGATAAGAATGAACCGTGGAAGGTAGCTCTAAATGCTTTCGAAAGAGCTGCTAAAGATTATAAAGCAAAATATGGCAGACCATTAGTTATTATTTACGATAATGTTGATCGATTAATTCATAAAAATACCCAAATCCTTGATATTCTTCAAAGTAGTGTAACTGAATGTGATATTAAAAAAAATTATATTGCAGTGTTTGTTGGTAGTGAATATTTATTCCCTCAAAGGATGAGTTGTAAGTGTTATTTGGTTTGGTTGATTTTTTTTTTGAATCAAGTCAAGTATAAGTATACAGTATTTATGAAAATTTTTTTTTAGCACATGGTTATTGGACAGATCTAGATTATTTTGAAATTGGAGATCTTACTGAAAATGAATCAATTGATTATCTTTCTACTAAAAAAAATATTAAAGTAGCAGAAGCAAATAAAATATATGAATTAACTGGTGGGTGCATTGAGGATTTAGAAATAGCAGCCGATGATTTAATTTCTGGACAATCCATTGAAGGTAAAATTAATTTATATCATATAATTTAATTTTAAATTTTATTTAATGCTTTCAATATTTTTTTTCTAAAATTTATATGATTTATATTTATATTTATAAATATAGATATTAAGCAGAGAATCAAAATGGATGTTGAACATAAATTCAGAGATGCAAAACTTTTTCCGAATGAAAAATATTATGAAACGGGAAGGAATATTATTAATGCTTTATTGAAATCTAAAGAGCTTTGTTTAACAGAATTATGGAAATATTCCAATTATTCAGACAGTGATAATGAAATCTTGAGCAAAAGTATATTTGCATATCATCCTGAAACTCATAAAATCACACTACAGTCAAAATCAATAGAATACTACATACGAGAAAATGCTAAATATTATATCGAATAATGTCCTATATTTGAGTGTATTATTCTAGTTTTAATACTTATATATAATTATCGGCATATTACATGATAATTTTTTTATCTAAATAATAAATTTTTATTTCAATATCTATCTAAATCAGTAAATATTGTATATTCATAATTCATATAATTCATCCAATATACAAAAGTTATTCAAAGGTTAACCCTAACATTTCCACATATCCACCATATTATTCCACCACCAATCAATTCTATTAAAAATTGAAATAAAACACACCAAATAATTTGATACAAATATTTTGGAGAAAAAACAGTCCAAATGAATAAATGGTCTCTTAATATTGTCACACCCACTGATAAAATAAATATTATTAAAGAATGAAATGATATCGTGTAATATATAGAATTTTTAAATTCAACTAAATTAATAATTTGTTCTCTTTCTATTATTGCTTCATTATCTTTACTTGTTAAATTTCGTTGTTGTTGTTTGGCTAAGAATTGGCTTAATGAATTTAATGAATTTAATGAATTTGATGTACTTGATGTATTTGATGAATGCGGTTTCGCGAATTTGATGAGATTGTTATTGTTATTATCATTATGATCAATATAATTATCATTATTGTAGTCATCATCTTCCATATATTTATCTTCCATATGTTTATCTTCCATATCCTCAATCACATCAACCATATCAACTAGATCATCATCCTCCTTTGGATTAGAATAAAGTAATGAAAATATTGTAGTAGAATAAGTAGAACTAGTTGAACTAGTAGGATTATTTTCAACAAATACTTCCTCAAATGTATTATTCATATTAATGCTACTACTTCCATTACTAATATTAATATTACTTCCACTACTGACACCAATAACTCTACTTCCACCACTGATATTATTATTTTCATGATAATTTCCAACAGCATAATTTTCTATAGCTTGTATTCTTCTTTCTGAACAAATCTTATTAATTCTCAATTCAATAATTTCAAGTTTAATCAAATTTCCAGCTAAAACCCACCAAATACTTCCAGACCAATTAGCCAAAAATGTTAATATTCCCACTATGACCATATTATATTCATTAACTCCTATATAAGAATTACTTATGTCAATTGATGCTAATGAATTAGAATTTCCTAATGAATAAAATGTCATCAATTTTAAACACATTAAAATATAATTAATGGTAAGTGGTGAGATTGGTATTCCATATTTCATATTAAGATTAATCCATTTTGAAAATAATATATATTGAATATAATATAACAGGTATAAAGGAATATTGTGAGGACGAGAAAGAAGTATAAAAAGATATGTTGAAATGTATAATAAAAGTTTGGAAATAGTTGTTATTTGGAGATCTAATAATAAAATAAAGAAACGATTTAATTAATAATTTAATAGATAATTTTATGAATAATTTAATAGATAATTTTATGAATAATTTAATAGATAATTTTATGAATAATTAATAAATAATTTAATGACAAACCTTTAAAAGCTTGAATCAGTTTTTGTAATAAAGGTAAAATACTAATCCAAAGTAATAATAAAAATAATATTGTATATATAATTCTTGCAAGACTAACTGAAATTGATATCGGAATAATGTATTCCATCCATAAAAGTATCTTCGGAAATAGCCTATTAGTAACATTATCAATTATTAATTCACCCCCATTATCAACTATTGATATTATTATTTTATATTTAATTATTGAAATGGCAACAATTATTACTAAGCATTGTGCAAGGAATTTATAAATTGCTCCAATAATTGATGATTTTGATTTGGAATTCGAATTTGAATTTGAATTTGGAGAAGATAATGATGAATAAATTGTTGATAATGTTTCGATGGTAAAAAAGATTATTGACCCAAAAATTAATATCCACATTAATAAGACGTAAGATCTATTTAGATAAAATCGAATGTCAACTTCGCCGGCATATTTTTGACCTTAATAATAATATTAAACACGTTAATTGATTGTAAATAAAATTTAAATATTAATTAGTTGTGGTTGATTGAAATAATTGAAAACCACCTGTTTGATTCCAACTACGAATTAATCGTACAAGTATCATCTGACCCAGAGATATCAATGTTAATCTTGAATCAAATAAATAATTATTTGACTTAAAGCTAAATTATTATTAATATAATTAATTATTAAATAATAATATTATTATTAAGAAATAAATTTAAATATTTAATTACCTGTTAAACAAAAGTCCAAACCAAGTTGTCTGCATCCAAAAATACCAAAATTGATGTTCTTCTTCAATAAAACTACTTGTAAACAATGTAACACAAAATCCAACTATGCTCAATAAAACAAAAAGGTCTAATCGGTAATTCTCTTTGTTTATGAAAATCATTTTCCCCTGAACATTTTTACTCGTTAAAATCATGATAAAACTGATGGATGCAAATCCCATGAAAAGTAATCCCCAACACATAGATTCAATATTATAATCACTCGAACTAGAAGATAAGAGAGAACTTGCTTCGGTAATAAACTATGAAATAATTTAATTAATTAAAAAAAATTAAATAAATTAAAAAAAAAAACTTAAAAATTAAAAAATATATATATATATATATTAAAAAATTAAATAAATAAATATATTTCAATTAATAATAACAAATTATTATTATCGTATTGAAAAACATACTTCTTCATAAAATAATGATGCATTTTCGATTGATTCCTCATCAAGAAATTCAAGTGCTTTTGAGTGAAAATAATAAGCAAATAAATACAAGCATTGTAATCTTGTCTCTTCATCTTTATCAGAATTATTACAAAGTTTCTCGATTTTTTCGATTTCCTCGATTTTTTCGGGATCTCGTGCAAACGAATTCCATAGTGTTAAAAGTATACCAGATAATTGATGAGCATTTAATTGTAATGCTCGTAATCTTTCTAAAGCTATAATTAAAGATATTATAAATTTTGAAATTTAAACATCATAATATCATTGACGCGTAATTGGATAGTATTAAATATTATCAAAAAATATTGGATAATATTAAATCATATTGAATAATATTAATAAATTAAAGAAAATCTCTTACGATCAATATCGACGAAAACGTCAAGCATAACCTTTCCCAAATTATTTCTTGGTATAGGAATTCCAAATGCAAATGATAATGTTGGTACAAAATCAATTTGATTTACTACTTTATAGAATTTTAATGAACGATAATTATCCGTATGATCTTTATAATCCATATTATTCCTATAATTCATATAATTGAATTTTGAACTCATAAAGACAAATGCCTATATTAATGACATTAATTAATAAAAAGTAAAAAAATCTTCTGTACTCAAATATTCAATGAATAAAAATACAATACATACCGTTGACGTTTCACCAATTGATGAACCACCATGATTTCCGGCCTATACTAGGAGAATAAAAAGAATAAAAAGAATAAAAAAGGGTATAAAAGTGAGAAACGAGAAATGAGTAATTATTAATATATATAAATTAAATTAACCTCATTCATTCCATGATCTCCACATAATACGAATAAAGTTGGTTTGGCATTTTCATTTTTTTCAATTCTAATTTCATCCTGTTTTACTATAATCTCAAAGATTGTTTTTACTACATTATCCATTTCTCGTTGTTTTGGTATCATCAATGGACTTTTTAATAATGAATAAGTTTAATATAAGATTATTTCGATTAGAGAAAACGCGAAAAAAAAAACGGCAAGAGAGGAAACGCGAAGAGAAAAAAGGCGCAAGAAAGAAAAAGCACAAGAAAAGGCATGAGAGAAAAAATACAAGAGAAAAAAATACCTATATGGTCCACTTGAATGTCCAATATGATCTAAACCAAGATAGTGAAATATCAAAGCATCCCATTCTGGTGATAACAATTGCGGAACAACATTTCTTGTGACATTTAAATCTACTTCTACTGTATCCTTTATATTTAAAAATTATTATATGAAATTATAATACGAAATTATTATATGAAATTACCACGTGTTTAAAAATGAGAAAGAGAGACAACTCACAGTAGCAAATAAAGATGAAGTCCCATCAGTAACTTTAAAAATTCCGGGAAAAAGATTTATCCACGTATCATCACCAAAAAATGAGATTGTCTTATTTCTCGCGTTTTTCAACTGTGTCAACCAATTATCTTGAAATTCCAATGATGATGTATCAGATTCTGCAATATTGAAAATTGCATCTAAAAAATTCGGAACTGTTCCTATAAAATTGAATATAATAATAAATGAATATATAAATTGAATATATGAATGAATATATGAATGAATATAATTCGAATATATGAATGAATATATGAATGAATATAATTCGAATATATAATAAATATATATTGGAGTACCAGTAGTGAGTGCTTTTATTCGTGGTAATGTAACAGTTGGAGCTGACGCATGTGCTGTATAAGGAATTGCTCGATGGCTTTCTATAAGACTAGCAAAAGCTCATGAGAATTTATTTCTTTAACGGATATTTCGAAATTAAATAATTTAAATGAAAATTTAAAGAATCATACCTTTTCACGAATTCCATGCCAGAATTCTCACCGAAAACAAAATCACTATATATATATAATAATAAAATTTAATTTAATAATAATTGTATTATATGTATATAGTTATTTATTAATATTTTTATAAATACCTTCTCAGTGCGTCAACAAGCATAAAGACTAATTTATCAAATAATGGTTCAGGTGGTAACGCTTCTTTTCCATTAGGATATCGCGGTAAATCTTCAATTTTCGCGAATCCCGATAAAATTTTTTTGTAAGGAAAAAATCCTTTGGAAAATAAACCAAGTCCAATAAATTGTGCCCCCAAAAGAATTATTAAGATAGCCCAAGTTTTTCGTATGTAAAACATTATTATAACGATATTGACGACGAGTTGTATTTAACGAAATTTTTTTGTTTTTTATCTGATGGGTCATATGACATTAATATACATAAACATACATAAATATGCAAATCATTTTATCATGTTCTACATAATATGTTATAAATTTCATTCTAACTTCAATATTTAGATTTGGATATTTAGATAAGAAGCTAAAAATTCATCCTCAGAGGTCGATATATGTTTATAAAGAACTGTAGGATTCAAACTAGACAGTTAAGGCTTGTGAATCCAATTTAAAATTATCTCAGGCTTATCTAAAAAAAATTCAACCAGGCTTTTATAAGCAAAACTTGTAAAACCAATATGAAGGTAATCAAAAGTATTATCATTATTATCTACATACTTGATATTATCTGTTTGGTAAAAAATTTTTGAGCAGCTATCTTTAAATATTCTTAAATATTTCAAATGTTTTAACTCTCATTCTGCATTACAGCAACAGCATTAGAAACTTTAAATTTTCGTTTTTAAAATTATCTATATATTATATTTTACAATAACTCAAATTCAACTTGAAGTTCTTTAAATGGTTGTTTAGAATAAATTAGTTGAGATTTTAAAACAAAAAATGTATAAAAGGATTACAAAATTTTTCTTTCTCTAATAATAAATAAGGTTCTATGTTTTGAAATTCAAATCTTAGAAAAGTGATTTGCACTTTGTGTACATTATACATGTTGTCAAATTGAAAAAATTGTTACAATTGCAATTATATATAATACAACTAAATTTCATTAATTGAGTCAAGGGCTTTTGAATTTTGACATTTTTTTTAACCATCGGGCATGTTAGAATTTGACATGTATAATGTACAAAAGTATCTGGCAAAGATCTTGCTAAATTTATAATAAAATTTCTTTAGCTAATTGTAACACATTTTTTTTAAATATATACTCTCTGACCAAGGGCTATTATATGATATAAGAATTTTGCACCAAATGAAATTAATCAAAAATATAAATCTTAACTTTCTTCAGATTTGATGAATATTAAATATCGATACTATCCATCTTATAAACAATTGTAACCAGAAACAATAATACAACTTGACTTAAAATGATTTTTTATTATTACTAGTTAAAATTGAAACTTTACTTAGTCATGAATGAAAATGATTAAAATTTATTAAAATATGATTGATAAAATTTAGAAATAATTATCAACATCTTTAATATTTTATTAGTAAATAACAAACTTAATACATAAAAAGATACCTTAAAGTCTGAAACACAGCACAGTACATTTACTATATAAAGGTTTTCAGTCCTATTTCTTAAGAATTGAATAAATAATAAACATATAACATTTAGACTTTGACCATTTATTATATTATTTGCCCATTTCTTAAGAAATAGGTCTGAAAATTTTGTAATTGATATATTATATTGCAAACTTTAAGGATACTAGTATTGTTTTTGATATTTTTTTTTGACAAATAACAAACTTTGATATGGGCATAAATATATGTATATGTATTATATAAGGGTACATTTCGACCTGTGTAATTATTTAAACTTTATTTTTTTTATATTACAAAATATATTTTTTTCATTAAATTGAACACATATCCTGACTTCTTTGGCTTTGACTGAATAAGAATTTCACTTCAAATTTGATCTGATTTTTTGATTAATTATCATTTTAAATAACTGAAATATCTTATTTCAACTAATCTATATTTGTGCATAATTTTTTGTTATATAAAATTTATAGATATATTTTTTTTAAAAAAAGGTATTAAAACAAGTTAAATATTATCCATATCTACCTGGTAGCAGATTTGCAAATCTCCAAAAATCATCTTTTAACAAAAAAGTGTTTTTTTTTATTTGACCTGTTCCGGTATATTATTAAAATGTTTTTCACATATATTGCCAATCTTTCACATAAATACTATACCTATCTATAACTTATCTACTACCAGAAATGTGACAGATAGGTAACATTTCAATATTTTGAAACAATTAAAATTAAGAGTTGAGATATAGAATTTGATGTAATTATTGACACAATTATACATAACAATTAATTGAGTCAATGGCTTTTGGATTAGACAGCATGTATAATTTTTGATATCCAATTAAATTTTAAAAAAAAAGTTTCACAAACACAGAATTTAAATTGATAAAATATTATTTTGTAACTAAGAACCAAGACTTTTTATTAATATTAAACACCTTGGTAAAAGATTTCTTGTGTGAATTATAAATAAAATCATAAATTTAATGTAAACATTATAAATTTTCACTGCAAAATTTATATTAGAAAAATTATGTTTTTTAACTTTGCTCACAATTTACTGGAGATAGTGTGCTCAATTAATATTTGGGTTGACTCAATTATTGTACCTTTTGCCAATTAATTTCTATCCTAGCCTGAAGACTAAAAGGCTCAAAGACTAAATTCTGATTGATTGCTTGATAAGATTGAATAATAATATTTTTCAAACTTTTCCTGCTTGTTTTTTTCTACCAAAACTTATAGAAAGAAAACATTTTTGGAACAGATGAAAGTTATTAGCTTATGTTTAAACTTTTTTCATTTTTCATTTAGTAGGAATTTATATAGTTTTGTTATACTTTGATAAAAACTTTTATCATGGCCAAATATAAAAGATACTTTTAACTTAATAAGAAAAGGTAAACAGAAGTAGGGATACACCATGCTCTCTTCAAGCTTAGCTCATTTAAAGAAATGAATTTTCTGAGATCAATCAGAACCATTCCAGCTGCCAGCTTGGCTTGGCTAGGTTCTACAAAACTGGCCAAATGAAAGAATAGGACAATTATATCATATATAATTCCTTAAATATAAGCAGTCAAATTATAGATAGGAATTTCTGATTTACAAACATGGTTCCTATTATTCTGACTTATGAATAGGCATATGAAAAATCTCTAAATTCAGATTAGGTGATATTGTTTAGGCAATTATAATTTGATTAAAATCTTAAAAACTCAATATTTTGTTAAGTCAACTACTTTCTACCCTAAACAAAAATAATAATGTTATTTTTTCTTGTCATTGTCAAATAAATAACAACTTTAACTAGTAGTCAGAAGTTTATTTTCTATATATTTATTAACTTTACTAAGAAGTAACTTTTGTATAACAGACTATAGCAATCAGCAGACATGGAATTCCAATTTGTTTATAAAAAGATAACTAGTATGTGGATATCAATATTAGTTACTGGAAAAATGATAAAGTATTCAGCTAAAAATTTAATCTCATCATCATTAAAATAATTAATAAATTTTGATAATAATTATGCCGAATTATAACAAATCATGATTGATTATGATTAGAATTACTGATTATTTTATTACATTACAACTGAAAATAATTAATGGGTGATTGAATTGGTTTAGGTAACCCATATCATGTTCACATAAAATAGATTATATTGATCAATCCAGGATTCTGAATTATCAATAGTAAAATTCCAATTTAACTTATGTATTTGTATTATATTGGCAAAATTCACATCTCATAGTAATCCATATTTTCCAATTATATTCAATTCAGATTGGATATTAGACATAAAATACACAGATTGAAATGTTATTTATCAGGTATTCAATGTTTGAAAACCATTTTATATATCAGTTGTAAAAGCACTTTATGTATATCATATATTAGGTAGTGTTGTCAAGGGACAGTGTTTGAACAAATGTTATTGTAAAAACCTATTTTGAACCATTAATTAAAATTGTTTTAAATTTATTTTTGCATATATTTGCAAAGTTTCAATATCTAAAGTCTGATCTATATATAATTACTACTAAAGAGACCTGTCATAATTAACACAGGAGTTGCAACTAATTGCATCATATGTCTTAATTAATTGTACCATACATCATAATTGATTATGTCACTTTTTTTGAATTACAACAGGTATCATTAATCATCATCCGGGATTAAATTTTGATAGTGATTATAACCTTAGGTGATATTTAGAGTTGCTGACATAATTAATAATTATGAGAATTACATATTACAACCTGGGTTGCAACCTTAATTTCAACCATTGTTCAAAGTTGCAAGTTGTAGCTTAGTTGTAATATGTAATTAAATTATAATATATAATCAGATTGTAATATTTGATTTATTTTATTATTGAATTTAATAAATTATTTTTGTTTATAAAAATTTTTTATTTATAATGTTTAATCTCAACTTTTTATCATTTGAGAGATGTTAAATCATCAATAATGGAAAATTGTTTCATTTTTAATGAATTTGTGTATTTGTAGTATTTTAAGGAGCAAGCTTACCAATAATGGACATTTATCAGTGAATTCCTCTAAAAAATACAAGATAATCAAAGTATTGATAGTAGATCTTTATTCAAATGAATGTGATTTTGACTTGAATATTACAGATATTGTTAATCCTGAATTCAATTTTCTGTTCTAATGAAACAAATTATGAATCAGATGAGAATGAAACTGATGATACCATGGAAGCTTATATTAGCAAAATTATTGGCTAGTTTTAAATGTATAATTTAGTTCAAAAAATTAATATAAAATAATGAAATCTTCAAAGATCTGCTATACTACCTGACATGTGATCTTGACCCGCGCTACATAATTTTGGCTTATAAACTTTTATTTTACAACCTTTAAAATCTTTACAACCTTTATGACCATTACGGCTTTACAAACATTACCTTTACAAACATTACAAACATTACAATTATTACAACAACAATCTTTTTGTAATTGCAGCAAAAAAATTATCAACCATTAGATCAACATTCCAACTTTGGGAAACCTATTAAGGCAGGCAACACTAGTGATATTACAACATCATATAAAAAACATATTACTGGTGATTATAATTAAAATTATAACTTTTATTATATTTTTTACATATTCTCTTTTAATAAAATTTCATTTAGAATTTAATGTATCTATTTCAGTTATTTCAAAAAAAACTCATATTTTTAGATAGGATATCAATTTTTCTGTATAATAAAGTAATCAACTTAAGTGAAAAGTAAATAGATCAAAAGGTGTGCAAGTGAAGAAGATAAGTCAAAAGGTAATATGAACAAGTGAAACAATTGTGTCATTTGAATGATGAATAATATAACTTGATGATAAATAAACAAGTCAAAATAAGGAGTGATAAAATTTATTTACTATTTTTTTTTTAAAAAATATAATAAATTCAAATAATAGATAATAAATTATATCTGGATGATTATCTAAAAATAGAATTTAGTAGTATAAAAGTATAATTGATATAAAAGTCACAAGAATGAAATACTAATGTTATCAATAGATCATATGAAATAAAGTGATTATGCATAGGGAAATTTCTTATAGATCATATATGATGAATATAGTTAGTGGTGATATTGATTATATATATAATATTAAATATATTAAATGATTAAATATAGGGAAACAAATATAACAAATTTGGAACTGAATAAAGGGTGATTAAATACATGATCTGACTGTATATAAACAGGTCATAAATAGGCAGTCTCATATATCAAAATTAAGCAGAAAATAACATAATTATGTTATTCCATTATACTCATTTTTTTGCAGTTCTTTGTAAACCATAATATTACAACATTAATTACTCTTTTATCTTCTCTTTTTTTTTTATTTACCTCTACAGTAACAAATAAATTATGATGACTTAGGTCAATTCCAATATGCCACTTTCTTATTAAATTTGTAATATTCCAATTATCAATTCCTTCATGCACCTTATAAGGAATTGATAACTGAAGAATTAATTAATTCTTCAAATTTGTTAACTGTATATACTAATGGAGACTATAAAGAAGATCAAAGTATGTAATTTTTGTCCTATTATAACTAATTTTATTTGCAATTTTGTAACTTTTATTAAATTGAAAAAAAACTTGCTTGACGTTCCTCTATTAGGTATAAAATTTTCAAAAAAAAGGTAAATAATTTTCCATTGACCTTTAACACTTAAAACATTATCTGATAGATCATAGTTTTCTATAATATTAAGAAAGTTTTGATAAAAACTTATCTGATTTTTTAATTGTTTCTAAGCTAAAATGTAAAACGTTCTAAATTTTTATGGTAAGTTTAATATGATTTTGGCAAATAATTAAATAATGCTCTAACGAAAAGAATCATAACTACAGAAATAGGTATTGTATTATAGAATAATAATATAGTATAATTTTTGAAACAATTTAGAAACTCACGTTAAGTCTTACAGGTGCATAAATGTTATATTTTTTGATGTACCTTGGATAATTCTATTATTTGGAAAGATGGAAAGGGCATCCTTATATATATAATTTTAGTATTTATTGATATTATCACTTTAATGTTATTAATTCAAGTTATTACTTTATAATGATGTTAAACCCACTTAATTGTATTTATTCACGTATTTTGATAAATTCGACCTTCCCGTAATGATCACATGAGGAATTTACAAAAAAATACATTATCTTAAAAAAGGGTAGATCACAATTGTATATATCACGTGAATACTACTTTAAAAAATTTTATAGGGGTTAAATACGGTGATCCCTTAATCTCAATAAAGAAATATATAACATAAATTCATTCCACTAAAATACAAAATACAAAATAATAAATTATAAATTTTATTTAATAAATAAACAAATAAATAATAAATGATTATTTAGGATGTTATTGAAGATTCTGTTTTTAATTTCTCTAGTTGAATCGTTAATGCGCGAATAGTCACATCTCGTTGCGCTAACTGATTCCGTAGATCATCATTTTCTTGACGAAGTTGATGATATGCATCTTGATACTAAAAGACAAAAATTCAAATTAATAACTTAAATAAATATATATATTAAAAGATATACCAAATAAAAAGATTTCTGAAACATACTTCTTTCTCGGTTTTAGGTGCCGGGGTTTCTTTTTCTTCCTCTTTTGGTGCGCTACTGATGAATTCTTTTTTCTCCTTTGCTTGAAAACCATTTTCCAAATCTATGGTTTTGGGATTGGCATTTTTTCCTGCGAAAAATTCATCCGCAGTCAAAGCTGGCTCATCACCCAAAGTTGGTGGAAACAAATCAGCTTGAAATGCATCAGACTAAAAAAAAAAAAAATTTAATTCGGTAAATAAAATATTAAAAAAAAAAAAATTCAAAGTTCACATTTTCACTTACTTTTCTTGGTACAGTGAATGAAATTGGTTCAACTAAATTACTGGATACTTTATAGGCCCTGGCTATTTCACATTCGCATACATTTATAGCACGTTTTGGCATAAATGACATTCCACGTTGAGGTTCAGATGATTTAAATTCTGACAAATAATATAATTCATCATTTTCAAATTCATAGTAACGAATATTTCCATCTCTAAAATATTAAATAAAGGAAATAATTGATAAAGCAATTTACATATAATCCATTCGTTCAATCAACCGTTAAAAAAAAAAAAAAAAAAAAAAAATCAAAATTTTGTACCCCTACATATTTAACGATAAAAAAAAAATTCAAAAGAAAAAAAAATAAATAAAAAATATACAGAAATTTAAAGAAATGCGTAAAAGAAATGTTAAATAAACCAACCTTTCCAGCCAAGTATAGTATTTTGAGATCATTATCATAAAATGGCATAACAACACCAGATGAAGTATCTAACATTATACTTTTAATTGGTTTATCGAGATCTGCCGAATTCCATAGAAATACTTGTCGATCACTCATCTTTGAGAAACCGGTTGTCACAATCCGATCAGTTTCACCTAACCAAACGACTCTAGAACCTTTTACACCTTGATGACTCGCAGCTTCCTGAACAACCTTATTAGAACGCACATCGAAAATCCTAAGTTTTTTGTCTCGACAAGTCGTAACCAATAAACTACCATTATAATTCCAAGACATTGATTGCACAAAATCCAAAAAACCTTTCAACTCTTGTCTCTCTTCTCCCTTTTCAATATCCCATAATTTTATAGTGAGATCAGCAGATGACGATGCAAGAATGTTATCAGCTACAGGATGAAATAAAACATGGCCAACTTTTCTGTATTGATAACCAATGATAATAGAAATAATTGAAGAAGATAATTGATAAAAATAATTAATTGAAAAAATAAATTATAAAGTTATCTAAATCTTTTTAAATCTTTTTTACCGTCCATGACCATTTAATTTAGCAACAGGTTCAATATCAGGAGATTCGGGTTCACCGAGTTCTTCTGGAATATTCCAAATCATTACTTTGGAATCTTCACCACAAGAAGCAACAACATAATCATTAAAGTTTGCGAAATCTGTATCCAAGACTGGAGCGGTATGAGCACGATAAAGAGGTATTCCATCACTTATTTTACCTAAAAGAAATAAAGATTTAAATTATTTTTCTATCCTGGTAAAGAACATAATTTAATACATTACTAAATATTTATAATTATTTTTAACTCACCACTATCCTTATGCGGAATTACAGCAAATGCACCACCTCCACCAGGGTTCCAATTAATAGAAACGAATAACTATTTGATAAAATTTTTAATAAAATTTTTAATAAAATTTTTAATAAAATTTTAAATTAATAAGGTCATTAAGAATTATTAATTAAATTATTTAACTATTCTATGTTATCTAATTAAACTACAAACAGAACTTACAGGATTGACTTTAACAAGATTCGTATCCCACGCGCTCGAACTAACTTTAACATTATCAAAACAGTTTTCGTGTTTTGCAGTAGTACCAAAAACGTGTCTAAGTGAAATATATTTGTCGTTTTATTTCTGTTGTATTAAACTATATCGTAATCTTTAAGTAGTGATGTAAAAGGATAACATACCTAAATTTAGAAGCGCGCACGAATCTGGACATTTCGTATTATTTTTGTTCAAATGAAATTAACGGAAAAAAACGTTTGAACAAAAAAAATAATGTATAAAAATAAAATTAAATCAAGCGCAGGGTAAAAATTTGTTCGCGTTGATTGAACATGCCATATGTATAAAGGTTACAACAAATCTTGTACGAGGGAGCAATTACCATTTTATTACCTTTATCGGAACACGGATTTGATAATACAAATTCACGTATGAAGTTTGATTGGGTGATTCAAAAAAAAATAATGAATACTGAAGAGCAAACAGTACAAACTGAAAAACTCAGTAAAGAAGCTTACGCATATAAGTTTTGGCAAGAATTTCAGGAAGAACGAACGGGTAAATTCGATACTTTATATTTTGTTGTTGTTTATAAAGAATTATTTTATTTATTAATTTTTCTACTTTAAAATGACATAAAAGTTATCCAAAAATCACTGAAAGAATTATATCTAAAACCGAAATCAAAAATTCCTTCATTATGTGAAGGAATTTTACAACGTATAAATGAATTGGAAAAGAAAGCCACAGATGCAATAAGATTTCTACCAGCTTATGATCAACGACAAACAAATTTGGTATTTTGGAATTTCAATAATTTTTTATCCTTGGGATGAAATAAAATAATAATTAATAATTGATATTAAAATTTTTAGCAAGTTCGAGATCTGATCGAAGATCTTAGTATGAAAAGAGCAGAATTAGCACCCAGAAATAAATTTTCATTTAAATCACGAAAATCAACTGGAATAGGAAAAAATTCGACAGATTCTAATCAAGAGAGCAAAGAGAATAATAGTGATAATAGTGATAATAGTGATAATAGAAATGTTACACTAGTAAAAGAAATTTCTGAAATTAAAACTTCAAATAATGAAAAACTTCAAACAATCACTATTAATGATCACCAAAATACTTACATTAATATTAATTCTTATTTGAACTCATCATCTTCAGAAAGCAAAGTTTTTGATTTTCAAATATCAAATTTAGATCACTGTATTGTGAATCTTGTTAATTCTACTGTTTCTATAGGTGCAATACATATTAAAGGATTAAAGAATACAATAATAATGTCTGGACTTGTTGGAAGTTCAATATTAATTTATGACTGTGAGAGATGTTCTTTTTTAGTTGGATGTCATCAGGTATTTTATATATATTAAATTATTACTTATGTAAAACATCTTTAAAACAATTTTGAATCTCTGTAGTTTCGAATGCATACATCCAAACAAATGATAATTTATCTTCATGTAACAAGTCATCCAATTATTGAAGATTGTCATGATATTGAATTTGCTCCATACACATTAACAAATCCCGGATTGAATCAAATGTTTGAGGTAAAAAATATATTTGATAGACGCGTTCTTTATCACATTGATTATTTTGTTTTCTCACATGAAAATTATCTTTATAGACAGCAAATTTGGATCAAGCAAACAATAAATATGATAAGGTTGAAGATTTTAATTGGTTAAGAAAACAAGCATCACCAAATTGGAGAGTTATTCCGATCGAGAGATTACGTAAAGATTGGTCTTTGCTTGAAGTTGATGATCCAAATAATATAACAGAAGAAAGTATCAAGAGTATTTTGAACAAGATTTTGTTCACACCAAACTAATTAGTATAATAATCATTATTAAATTTATGTATTTTTAGATTTATTTATTTTAAATTTATTTATTTGATTTTTTTTTATTATCCTTTCTTCCAAAAATAAGATTAAAAAAATTAAATATACAGTAAATCTAAAGGTCGATCATTGTAATACGCTACAGTCACAGTCACACGTGATTCATTGCCTATCAATATAAGCTCTACGAACTTCACTTTTTTTTTTCTCACGACTCTTCAATTCTACTCTACTTGGATTTAATAAAGATATAACGTCTTCTACCTTTGATTTTTAATCGTATTTTATTTCGAACGAAAGGAAACAACTATAATAATTACTTGTTATCCGCTTTTCGACGCTATAATAGAAACAATATTAACGTATTTTTTGATTGTTTTTCTTACATACCAAGTTGTAACCTATTTTCATTGGTTTTTTTTTATATATTTAATAGCGCCCATTACCAGATGTCGCGTATCTCATGTGAAATCAGTTTTCAAACGACACTAATTTAATAACCAGGTGAGTGTTTTCATAATTTATTTTTTTTTTGTTTTTTTTTTTAAATATAATCTTTAATATATTTATATATGTAAATATTTCTATTAGTGATGCTTAAGCGTGTGAGTGTACTGTTAGTACAATGAAATATGAGTGCCCGAGTGAAGGCAATTTTCTTGTATTGCACGCACCAGTGTCAAAGTATTTTCTGTTCTGTACTACCAGTATCCTCTTGCCTCGTTGTAACGACGAGTGCCAGGGCTTCTGCATTTTTTCCAGTGCCAGGAAAGTATAATGTGTGTTGTGCAAAGATAGAAATTGAAAAATGGAGTAAACAAGGATATACTTGGATTTTTTAGTTGGGTTTATTTTTCTTTTTTTTTTTTTTCTAATAAATTGTTTAAATACTATCGAAATTTGTTGAGTATTCAATACAGGCATAGAAATGGGTAGTTTACTTTATAAAAAAAAGAAAAGCAGTGACAAATAATTTGTAAGTATTAGAACGCGGAAAATAGGATGATTTCTATTATTTAAATATTTCATCATGAATTTTATTATTTTATAAATTATTTATTTGATATTCTTCAATAAAAGTTTTTTTACAAGAAATGTTAAAATATTAATAAATATTAATAAAAGTAAAATGTATAAACGAACAACATTAATCATTGTGAATCTTTAAATCATTTGACTTGAGTGAGACTAGATTGATTTTACATCCAATCAAAAGATTGAATGATTATAATATAACTAAAACCCTCGTACTTGCCTAATTCCAATTTTGCAAGTTTTTAATTTTATAAGAATGAGTAATTCCTTGGAAAAGAAGTCCATTCAAATGCCTCCAGAAATTGAGGCACTTCGTCTCGCTGCTCTTTCAACAAGGAATCCTAAGAAAGAAAAAAAGCCCGAGCCAACAGCGGTTCCGTCTCCAGTACAAATTCAACTCACTCTACCCACTCTTGAATCAAGAGAAGTAAGGGAAGTGGAAAATGACAACATTGATACCTTGTCTGAACGAGAAGAGGGTGAACTATCTGAAACTGACGAACCATTGACCGAAACTTTTAATCAGGGTGACATATACATGAAACAAGAAAACCAAAAACAGTGGTCAAGCCAAGGTATTTATCTTATCAAAACATTACTGAATTGCTATTGTATCAATAATTATTATTTTCCTCCCTTCTTAAAGCTAAAAAGATGTGGTCTAATCTCTTTAAATCTTTTTCCTAAGGATCTCAAGGATCTATAAATCTTGTAAACAATATCAGCAATATGGGCTTGAATGATATAAATATGTACGATCAAAATACGGCAGACACAGCAACTCGAGATCTTATTCGAGATCTCTATAGTATGGGCGCTTCCCCTAATGATATTCTTAATGTGGGCGTTCCACCTGATGTAATTATTAGATGTTCGCGCGAATTAAATATCGACACTTCTCATTTGCAGTCATCACCAGTTGATATAACCTCAACCACAAGTTATATTCCACATACTCCAACAGTTTTTAGCCAAGGATTATTTACAAATCAAGTCTTTCTAAGTGACTCAAATGTGCAAAACATTACGAGACCGAGCACTTCATTTTCTCAATCCGTTCCTAATCAATCTCTACAATCCTCTTTACAATCCTCTTTACAATCCTCTTTACAATCCTCTCTACAATCCTCCGTACAACCATCCGTACAACCCTCCATACAACCCTCCATACAACCCTCCATACAACCTCCCATACAACCTCCCATGCAACCTCCCATACAACCTTCCATACAATCTTCCATACAATCCTCCATACAACCTTCCATACAATCTTCAATACAACCCTCCGTACAGCCCTCCATACAACCTTTGGGTTCTAACCTAACATCTAACTTTGCATCCAACCTGTCATCTAACTTAACATCTAATATGACGCCTAATACATCTCTTATAAACCCTGTGAATTCGAACATCGTATTTCCGACATATTCTCAAAACCAATACTCTAATCCGTCAGATCATGTATCATCATCAAGCCAAAATGTTTTCAATTCATCAAATCCTCAAGCAGCTCCCGCTTTACTTCTCTTGTCTGCCATGTCGACCACACAACCCACTTTTGGTATTATTATCCCTCCCGATTCAAATAATTTAAATAATTTAAATAATTTCTCCGCTCAAACTCAGCCCGCACAATTTATGATAAACGACAAAAGTCTCCAATTATCAGCCCCACCGTTAAGGGCAGATCAAACTAACCAAATTTCAATGGAGGTTGATCCGATTGTTAATGGCCCACAACTTACACCATCCGAGTCTACCAATCATTCCGTACCGCAGAATCGTAATATTGGATCCGGATCTGGATCTAACATCAATCCTGGAATTAACAAGCCATTCATATCTAAAACTACTGCTAGTTACATAATTGATCTAAGTGACGAATCTGACGGTGGAAAGATAATGAAAGATAATGAAGAAATGCAAATAAATGCCAAGAAACAATTGGAGGAGAAGGAACGGGAAATACGAATAATGAACGAATTGATTGCCAGCAAGACCAAAAAACTTAAAAAGAAGGGTCCCGCTTCAAATTCGACCCCTACTCTTTTTAATCAATATCAACCGTCCAATGACTTCTCAAATACCGAAATGGATTACGAACCTTCCGTCAATAATGAATCTGATGGAATAAAGATTCAAATTGAAGAAGCTGAAAAGGACTTTAACAATACTCGTATGGAGTTGGATGAAGTTATCAAAACCGAGCAAGAATATTTACAAAAATATCCTAATATAGAATCACATTTGGAGTCTCTCCAAGGTGATCGCTCAACCCTTGAAGAACGATACCAACAGCTCAAAGATGAACTTGAATCAGTTGATCAAAAACTTAAATCTATCGAAGACAATGTGAAAGAAACTATGCACGCTCGATCTCAAATGGAAGATGTTACAAATAAGCGGCAAACCCTTCTACAAGTGGAAGAGAATAAGAAAGAGGAACTTAATAAATTAAGGGTGAGGGTTAGCATAACATCTGGTGGACCGGATGAAAAAAATGGTAATGGAAAACGGTTGGCCAGTTCTGACCCTACGGAAGTGACCACAAAGAAATCCAAAATTTCCCCGATCATTGATGATACTTCTTCTGCTGGAGGTGACACGGACGAATATGCAAATCTCTCCCCCGTTGAGGTTATTATTTATTGTTATTTATTTATCTTATATATTGATATATTTATTAACCTATTATTTCATTATACAGTTTAGCGACTCGGACGGGGACATAGCCTATAAGAGCTACCAAAGCCCTCTCGAAATATATAGTTCAATTAAGCTATATAAAAAAGCGAAGAAATATACTTCGCTCACGTATAACAACAAAATAATTCCTCAACGTAAGCTTTGCGTATTTGAAACACAGAAGAATGGTCACTGCAATGACGACGAGTGTATGTCGCAACACTTTCGTGACCTTCCTTTAACTGGTAAGATTAGAATAATATTTTTATTTTTGGTTGCCGGAACAAAGTTCGGATCATATGATTTACATTGAGAAAATATTATTAAAATTTATGTATATAGATCATGAACTTATAGAGGATATGAAGAAATACTACGAAGGGTGTACCGACGAAAAGAGGGTAGAGTATCGAGAAGGATTGAAGATACTTTGCGACCGAATGCGGGATGAGCAGTGGGACACGGAGAGATGTGTATCGGCGATGATTGATTTTCGGAAGGAATTTAATGCGCGTCACCCTTTCGATTGTTTTAATGCTCCCCGTCAAGTTATCTTCAACAAGAAAAAACCATTGGACCATCCTCTTGAATGTGAGGAGGAGGAGGCACCCGCATCGGATGATTACATCTCCGAGTCTTTGCCTACTCCTAATTTAGAAGAGGAAAGTCAAGATATGTATCCTCCATCCTCACCCGACATATATGATGATGAAGATGAAGATGACGAAGATAACATTAATTATCAAAATGATATTAATTGTGTGGAGCCCAATATTGACGATTATTCATGCTATGAGGGTGATACCGACTCCAATATTAATGATGAAGAGCCGGTACCCTTTATTGAAGATAAAGACGAGTACCTTCCCTCCGGGTATGATTCAAATCACGAAGATAATGACAAAACACATTGGGATTCTAATTTCGAACTGAACGATACAAACGATGTTAATACTAAAGATTTGCAAGATCATGATCTAATTGTAAATACCGCAGGATCATCTGAAGAATTTAGCGAGGAACGCCAACATGAGGATTATCCTCTTGAGGAAAGCCAAGAAATTCGTAATCCAAATCAACAACAAAACGGATCATCAAGTAGCTTCAGTGTTTTTGGTGCAATATATAATTTTTTTAGTCGGTAATTGACAAATGCCAAATTGACAATTTTTGATGATGTAAGAAAATTCATAAGAACATTTAAATCATTTAAATACAATTTTATTTTATAAGATTTTGTAATTTTGTAATTTTGCACAAATAATTCCTTTGATTAAAGAATTTTGTCTTTACAAGAGGTCTTTTTTGGAAAGGCTTTTAATTTTTCAGAGAATATTTCTTTTATTTGAAAATTTGTATGTGTATTATTTAATAAAAATTATAATTTAATGTATAAATTTTTTTCAAAAATAAATTAAATCTCTTATTTGCAGAATCATATAATAATTTAATTACTACATTCATTCAATAAAATATGATAAATGATGAATGCTATTATTAGTAAAAATTATTATATATTTCCGAAGACGAGAGTCATCCATTGTGGTCCTTTTCTAAATTTCTTGTTATAATATGTACATTATTTTTATTTTTATAGATAATTCAATGATACAACCTTTATGATTTTGATAAAAATTAATAAATCTAAAATCTAAATGCATATTTTATAACCTAACTTTGCCCACGTAAATTTAATTTTGCCCAGTGGTGACAATCACCACTGTTGAGCTTTAGAAATTTTCTTTTCTATTTTGCATTGCATGCTTTTATATATATATATATATATATTGGAAGTTATACCTCATTAACAAATTACAAGATCAAACATAGGTCTCTATATATCACTGTCTGTTTTTTCTCGCAAGGTCAATTATATGTTTCCTTATCAAGGAATTACTTCTTATTGATGTCTTCAAGCTCTTATCTCTAATAAGACAAAAGTAATTCAAGACTATCAGACAAAGAACATCGTATATTATGAAGTTTTTTAATATTATTATTGTTTTTTTTTAATATATGTATATTTGAGGAACAATATTTTAAAAATATACTTCACATTATAAATGATAATGTATATTTGTTACTTTATGTGAATAATTGGTGGATATTGATTTATATTAACTTTTTTTTAGAATATAATTATTAAATCATAATATCCAAAAAAAAAGGAAATATTAACAATAGCAAAATTTATTTTTAATATTTCCTTTTTTTGAATTTGGGCGTCTCATCTAGTTAAATTCAGTAACTTCAATTAGCTAATTTATTTGTTCCAATATTGTCTAACAAATAACAATATTAAATGTTATGAAAATCTAGATGTGCCGAAATTAAAAAAGGAAATATTAATTATTTCTGAAATGTCAAGATGATTTTACACGTCGAGTGAAGACACGAAAGCTCCACAATTGCTTGGAATATTTGATGGAACATGGATTTAATCAATGGAAACAAGCTGCTTAGGGATTTTATGGTATGCTTCTATTTTTTCGGAATTGTTCCCTCACTAGTAGGCAGTATGGAGGGCTTCGTTTATGGTGGGTACCTACGCCCTCCCGCTTGATTACGCTCATGACCCAAGAGTTTGCTTTTTCCAGTGAATTTTCTTCTTTCCTTTTAAAATACAGACATTAGGTAACCAAATTTTGCATTATTTGATTTACTCTTGTAGGATCATTGAGAGGATCCCAGATGTTGATGATTTTTGGAAGGAAATTGAGAATGAATTTCTAAATGCCATTCTTCGATTCCGTGTTCACGTGTTTATTGTATTGTCAAGCTAAAAATAGCAGAAGCTTTTAATAATTTATAAAAAAAACTTAGTTGAAATAAACTTTTATAGACGAATAGCAGAATAATTAGGCACACAAAATATAGGTTAATTAGAACCCAATTTACCCAATTCATAAGATTGAACGTATAGAACTTAAAGGAACGTTAAAATGTGTAATTTAAAAAATTAAAATTTGACTTTATTAAATCGTAAAAAATAAGTTAACTGTATTAAGTAAAAAAAATCTTTAAATGTTAATCATATTTTTCATAAAGGTGTCTTATAAACTGATTTAGAGATTTATATATCAAAAAATTACTAATCTTTTCTGCATTTATAAAGTACTACTTATCTGATATAGCATATAAAATTTAGAACATCAAAATAATTACGATTCTAAAAAAATTATTTTTTTTTTCATATTTTCATTAATAGAAAAACAAATAAAAAAAATTTAAAAAACGTGCAAAGAGAATAGGAATCAATCTATAATATATCTATATAACAACCATAAGGTGTAAACCCATCACGATACATTTTAAATTTCAAAATAACTTTCTCCGATTTCTGAAGATCCGCGTTCAGTGTTCACAATTTTAGATTTAATTCCTCTTTTCCCAAAACCTGAACTTTTGTCGAGGAGATCATCAACATCAGTTAAAAATTCTTCAATTCCACGGAAATACTCTTGACCAAGTTTCGGAGGTGGTTGCACGGGTTGCCACGGAGACATACAAGGTGACGGAGGCGCACTGATAAAGGATATAGATCCTGGACTAGGAATGTGAGAAGGGGAAGCTGGACTAATCGACAATATTGAAGAATGAGTGTAGGAAGTTGAAGATAAACGCGTTTGCATATCAGTATCTCTTAATGTATCTGTGGGTTCCTGAAATTGAAGCTCGTAATTTGGTTCAGAAACTTGTACGTCATCAGGAGGATTAGGAAGCAATTCAATATTCTCTTCCAAATCAATCACTTCTAATTCAAAATGAGGACTATCTAAAGCAATTCCAAGACTCTTTAACAAATTCTCAATATTACTAACAGACATGCCACGTGGAAAATTCACCCGCAATTCGCAACCGAAAACTTTAATATCATATATATCATGTTTTTGAAGAATTGTCAAAATAGATATAACTTCCAGCATATGATTATGCTGAATTTCTACAAGTTCACGTAGATTTCTAATGAACATCGGATCTAATTTATTAGGTGTAGACCTATTCTTCTGACGCATAAGGTGAGTAACCACATTTGCTAAAGAATTAACACTACTATGACTACTTTCCATAGAATTTGAAGTTTCATCAAAATCCCAAAAGAGAGAAGAGCTAAGTATAAAAGACATATATACTTGAACATTACTATTATTTTCAATAGATTCTTTGTCAGAAGTTTTAACAATGACTTTATTTTTACGTGAGAATTTTTTGATATTTGCTCTACGAACAACTCGAGGCTTGTAATTTATACTATCGTCGGATCCGTCTTGTTGTTTTTGTACTGCATCCAAAATACCTTTGCTTTGAACGAATAATTTACGCACTGCCTCTATTTTAAGACCTACAGAATTATGTTTCTCAAGACCAGAAGAGTTTGTATTCTTGGATAAATCTTCAGGCATACGAGTCCACAGAGCTCCAGTTTTGGTTGCTAGTGCTGAGAAAGGTTTGACTCCTAGTTGCGCAAGAACAACCCCGCCACTCGTAGAACCTTTATTAAACATTGTTGTTGAGAAATTTCTGGCTCCACTACTACCAAACACATTTCTTGTTCCAATAGGTTGTAAAAATGTGTAATTTGAAGTCAACCCAATTCGTTGCGCCTTGCATACCCTAAGAGGGGTTCGAGAAAAAGTTATTGGCACAGGCGCCGGAAGAGGAGTAAAGGATTTAAAAATAGAAAAATTCTTAAAAATAATATTGAGGAGACGAGACTGTTGCGTATTATTTGAGTTGATATGATTTACGTGTGAAAATTGATTTTGTAGTTCAGATACTTGTTGCTTAGTAAAACTTGTAAAATATGATGCTCCACCCGAATTAGCGGTGTTTGATTTTTGCCCTTTGACCCCTAAAGACGTCATAACACGCTCCAGGGGTTCAATCAAAGTCTTCACTTTTTTCCACATGGCAACGTTCGTTCGTTTTGCGAACGCGGTGCTATTGTGAAAAAAGGGTTACAATATAGTTATTTTTAGAGATAATGAAATATTTATTAAAATAATTGATCGACCTTATACTACACATTTTGTTTAAGGGTTACTTTTTGGTTCAAAAAAGGCAAAAAGCTAAAGATTATCAACTGTGGGATACGTCATCTTGGTTATTAGCAAATGGTCATGAGAATGTCATGAGAACGTCAGATACAATTGATACAATTTGACACAATACACTTGATCGTGAGAATCGTGCATGAATATTTATATGGCATATTTTCACGAGCTTTGATAAGAGATATTACATACATTATTTGTTCCACGAGGACGATCATATAAATGCTATGTTATAAACAAGAATTTTGACATATCTCTATTTCACAACCTTTGCATTTCTTCCTTTTAAAATAATCATGTAATTGGCCTTAAAGTGATGACCTTGGCCTCAAAGTAATGACATCTCAAGTTATAAATATGGCTAAGAAATTCTTTAATAAAGAATACAATTTCTATTATTTAATAAATGATTTTGAATAAACTATTATTTTGCATAGTTCAGTATTAGTTAATCATCTAGTTATATTTATTGCTTTATCCTTATTTTCCTACCTTTGTTTTATTATCTAATTGATTTTTTAACACGAAACTAAATTATTAATATTTTTAATAAAGCTCTTTCAATTAGATAATAATATATAATAATATTTGATGTTGTGAAAATTATCCTTATTTGTAACATTTGTATATGTATATCTAATTAGCAATATTACATTTTGTTATATTTCTATAGTTATAATTTTTTAAGAAAATTTGAGTTAAAGAAAAAATAATAATTTGAATTTTCTTTTAAAAAGTTTAAATATAAAATCTTCATTCTCAAGTTTAGAAATTTTATAAAATAAATAAAACAAGCCTTTCTAAAATTCAGAGTTTTATTTTAACTCTTTATGTTTAAAAATATTATATTTTTGAAAATAAACTCATAACTTAGAATACATGTCAAATAATTAAAAATTAACAAAATTTTTTGGTAAAAATTAATTTAGTCTATTTGTATACACTAGTCTATACATGTTATCAAAACTATTGAATTTAGTCAAGCACAATTAAATTATGAAAAATTAGAATTGAGTTATATAAAAAATTGATACAATTGATACAATTGATATAATTATTTGACACAATTGAAATTTAAGAACTGAGTCAAAGATTTGTATTTTGGAAAACATGTATACACTAGTCAAATGAAAAAAAAAGACAAGTAAAATTTTTTATACAAATAGGCAGGAAGTTAAAATAATATAATTATATTATTTTCACTTAGTCTAGATTATTTCTATTTAGCTATAATGGATCAATTATAAAACTCAAGTCATTTGAGTAATAAGTTGATCATAAAACCCAAGTTATTTGAGTAATGGGTTGATTATAAAACTCAAGTCATTCGAATAATAGGTTGATCACAAAACTTAAGTCATGCTATATATGAACTATTGTATATCAGTTTGATATCCATAACTAATTTCAAATATAGAATACTTCCCAATTTAAGTTATAACACTTCTTGTATGCCCTTCTATATTAACTCCTAATTCTTTTAGAAATTCAAATTCAATAGTGATATTTGTATACCATAACCTGTAGACTTGTTGATCTTATTGTGAATTTGATGATCTAATTACATTAAGTATATTATATATATACTGTTAAATATATTATTAAATATATATACTATATATGTTTTCAAAATTGATTTCTAATTTTTGAGATATTTCATCTTTTTGAGATTTACTCAGAATCTATTCTATATATAGAAGTAAAAAATATTAATTAAGTATATCTTTAATCAAGAAATTTATCTGAATAGTTAAAAATTCTGAATTTTAAATAAAATAATTTTATTTTCTATGAAAAATTATTTTGATTTTTTTTTTCAAAATTACAATTTCAAAACTTCAAAATAAATTTATGTAAAGTATAATATGTGCAGTAATCTACAAAAGAAGTGTAACACCTGACTTTTTGTCTTTAAAAAATTTTATAGCCTGAATGAGAAATTTTAGAATAATAATTACTAAACTCATTTTAATCCTTGAGTTTTGAAGAATTTTTTGATATCAAATTAATAATTCTGATTTCACATATACAGATAATTTATATGGTAAATTGTCACTTAATAAAATTTCAATCATGAATAAAATTTTATACAGAATTGTTATAGCTAAGATGATTATAGAGTTGATAGTATTTCTCAAGGAAAATAGGCATATCAAATTTTATAACAATTGAATTAGTAGTTATCAAGAAATTAACTCTTGGAAATTGAAACTTTACTAATAAAATTATTACATCAGGAAATTTTATAAGATTAAAACTTGCAAAAGTTTACGCAAATTTCCAAAGGTGTCAAAAATTTTTGCAAATTTTTGTGCGTTTTTTCTGTTTTTTAACTTTGCTTACAATTTTTGAAACACAGAGTAATTTTCTATTAAGGTATTTCTAAAATAGATAGAATAATTTTGTTCTTAGTTACAAAATGGTATATGTTTTATTATTGTAATATCATTATTTGCAAAGTTATTCTGATTTAAAGAAAGAACATCTATGAAAAAAAATCATATGAAAATTTCTGGAAATTTGCAAAAATTTTTGTGTAATTTTGTGAAATTTTGCATTACAAAAATTTCAGTGAAAATTTGTAGAAATTCGTAGAAATTTTTACATGATTTTTTTACAGATATTCTTTCTTTAAGCTGGAATAACTTCACGAATATTGATACTACAAGGATAAAACATATATTATTTTGTAGCCAAGAACAAGGCCATTTTATATATTTTAGAAATACTTTAGTAAAAAATTACTCTGTACTTCAAAAATTGTAAGTAAAATTAAATAACAAAAAAAATGCATAAAAATTTGTGAAAATTTTTGAAACCTTTAAAAATTTGTGCAAATTTCTATCTTATAAATATACTTGCACACAAAATTATTTTGGAATTCCGAAATTGTATTTTGGAGAAAAAAAGTCAAAATAGTTTTTCATAGAAGACAAAATTATTTTACTTAAAATTCAAAATTTTTTGACTACTCAGATTTATTCTTTAATTAAAGATACATATAACTAGATACTTTTTTTACTTCCATATATAGAATAGATTCTGCATAAATCTCAAAAAGTTGAAATATCTCAAAAATCAAAAATCAATTTTGGGAACATATATACTTGTAAAATTTTCTGATATAAAAAAAATTTTTTATTAATAAAATTTCAATTTTCAAGAGTTAATTTTTCAATAATTACTGATCTAATTGTCATGAAATTTGATATGTCTTCTTAGAAAATATTATTAACTCTATAATTATCTTGACTATAATTATTGTGTAAAATTTTATTCACAATTGAAATTTTATTAAGTAACAATTCACTATATAGATCAACTGTTTATACAAAATTGAAATTATTAATTTGATATCAAAAATATTTCAAAAAATTCTTCAAAACTCAAAAATTAAAATAAACTTAGTAAGTATTATTCTAAAATTTCTTATTTAGACTGTAAAATTTTTTAAAAACAAAAAGTCAGGTATTACATTTCTTTTATAAGTTATTATATACATATATAAAATTTGTCAAAGTTTTGTTAAGATTTTATTTAGCCTATAAGAAGTACACATATTTAAAAAATACTTAAAATATAATTAAAATATTATTGAAATATTATTAAAATATAATTAAAATATACTTAAAAAATACTTAATTTAGGTAATGAGTAAGTATATATCTAAAACATACTTAAAAAATATTTAATAAAATATATTTTGAATATATTTTAAATATATTTTAAGTATATTTTAAATATTATAGTTTTTATAAGGTATTAATATTAATAAACTTTGGATCAATATAATATTTAATAAAATTATAACAATAATATAATTACATTCAGTGAATATAAATACTAATCTTAATTATTGTAATAAATTTCAAAAGATATTGTTAACAATGTAATTTGATTATGATAAACTTTGAAGAATATTATTAACAGTGTAATGTTGATTAAAATTGCTGCGATAAACTTTTGAAGAATATTATTGACAGTATAATATTAATTAAAATTGTTGTAATAAACTTTGAAAGATATTATTGACAGTGCAATATTAATTAAAATTACTGTAATAAACTTCGAAAGATATTATTAACAATACAATATCAATTAAATTTACTGTGATAAACTTTGAAAGATATCATTGACAGTGTAATATCGATTGAAAATCATAATGTTATAAATACAAGTGATGACTATTGAAATAATATATTATAAATATCTAACATAAATAAAAATTATTGATATGAAATTACTATGAAAATAATAATATTTGTAAAATTTTGTCACATGAAAATATCAAAATTGATAACCTTTGAAGATTAGTGAAAACCTTCGAAGGATAACATATCGAAAAATAGTAAAATACTTATATTAATGTTAACTTTCAAAAGTTTTCACTAGAAAAAATTTTTTAATAATATATCCAATAAGAAATAATCTAAATTCTCAGAGTTTTCTTATAACCTACATCAGAAAGTGTCATATATTTGAAATCGATTAGGATTACCAATTTGATATACAAATAGTATTATTGAATTTGGATTTCTAAAAGAATTAAAATATATTATAGGAGGATTACCTATTGGCCGTCATAACATATATCATAATGAATCCTATACTTGAAATCAACCAGTATTACAGAATAAAAATATCATGACCAAAAAGTATAGTATGCAATACTAAAAACACCTGTAATAATTATAACTTTTAAAAATAGTAGAATTTAAAATTCAATTAGTAAATATTAACAAATAAGAATATTCAAATAATTTTTCAACTAATATTTATATTCAGTAATACACATTAATTAGTTACAGAATAGTAATACAAGATCACGTATTCACATGATATTTAATTACACAAACATAATTATCAATTCATAACATTGATTATCAACACATATTATTATTATTTAACAATAACTATTAATATTTATTATTAATTAGTATTGAATATATTTAGTATAAAGAAATAGTAACCAATAGAAATAGTGTACAGTAAGTTACAGTAATGCACAATAAGGTACAGTAGTAACACAGTAATAAAGATTATTAGATTAAGTATAAAAAAGAACTGAAATAACCTTGACTCTCTTTAGTTTTACAACTTTATAATTTGT